ATCAACTTCAATTCCGGCATCTGGATCATCCTCATCAACCTCTTCCTCGTGAGCTTCGGCATCACCATGTCGATGTGGGACTGACCCAACATCTACAGGTATTTCCTCGGCTACGGGAGGCGGACGTACTGGACCGGCTCCTCCGGGTGGTCCGAAGTCGAACGCACCGTCATGGTGTTCGCCCTCGACCTCTGCGGATTCACCGACAGCGGCGGGTGTGACTTCGTTGTCATCGTCGCCTTCCTGATCTGCCTCATCGTTTGTTACCATTGCCAATACTTCCGAAAAGTGCTCCTTGAGGTCGTCTATCGTAGGGCGACGCCTGTTGCTCCGAAGCTTACCATCACTCACGAGGTATGGGATGTCGTCCTTGACCTGCAAGTGCACGAATCCCTGCTTTGGAGTAACCATAAAAGGTAGTTTACCAGGCATCCAGTGAAATGCATAACCCATCTTCATGCACCTCCTCCCTACTGACAACACCGTAGGTGTTTCATCCAATACGTGCGGCTCGACAGTCTCGTCCAATTCGTCCACGACTATCTTGGCCACGTCGGATGTGGAAGTGGAACCATTCGCGGTCTGGAACACAATCTCATCATCGTCTTTCACAATGTCGACACCCAGGCTCTTTGCCTTGGCTCGTCCGATGAGATCATGACCACATCCGGTGTCCATCAACCATTTCACCCGTTTACTGATGCACGTTGACATGGCGAAAACGTTCTTCGGCAAACCATGCTGCTTCTTCCAGTCAACGGCCGACTCTCTGATTTCGTCCTTGTTCTGATCATATTCAAACATTATGCTGCTCTCCTTGGTCACTGGGAAGTAGTGTCTCTTGTATATGTCATCTACCACCTCTCTCAGTATTCTCGCCCTTATCAATGATCGTTGGACTTGAGAGGCTGATAATTCTCGATGATCACTGCTCTTGAACTTCTTCTCGTCGACGTACACGTACTGATAAGGCTCATTCTCATTGTCTTCATAACCGTACCATTCCCCTTTTCGTTCCCATTGCCTTCTCTCGTCTTCGAGATAGGTGATCTCTCCATTCTCGTCGACATCGAGTACTTCCTTGAACCATACCATTTTCTCGGGGATCTCGGACTCGCCAGACCATCTTGATGATTCGCTCATCGCGTCGTCATCATGCTCGTGGTAGACAGTCTCGGCTTCATCCGGCTCGACCTGGTCAACGTCCTTCTTAAAGCTGACCTTCCCCGCAGGAGCCGATTGCTTCAGGACTATCGCAGGCATCGCGATGGCCCTTCTTGCAATAGCTGGCGCTGCGGCCTTGGCAGCAGCTTTCGGCTTGGCTTGTGCCTTGTCGCTTGACGTTGCCGGAGCTGAATTGTTCTTGATGAGCTCGTGCCTATACTTGCAGGCACCCCCTCTGTCGCACTTTCCCTTCTGGAACGCGAAGCATGCTCCATCATCCCTCTTTGGTGACGATGATCTGGATTTGGACTTACCTTTTCCTTTCCCTTTGGACATGTTCTCCAGTTTGTGCTCCGTCTTCTTGCTGTGGGAAAATGTGCATTCATTCCCTTTCACGCATCCCTGCGCCGATTTGAAGTGATACCAACAGGGGTTATCTTTGCCTCCGCCCGGACTCTTGCCTCTGTCGCTGGCACCGTCGGACTTGCCGTTCTTGCCAGCGTGGCCCTTTGCTTTGGCCTTTGGGAGTACAGGAGCAGCATCAGGTCCACCGGGTTTCCCCTTTCTGCCTTTGCCGCCCTGGTTCTCCTGTTTGCCAGTGGCTGGGGCTGCATCCCTGCCGCCCGACTTCATCATCGACTTGACCGACCTCTCCTTCATGTCAAGCATCAGGTCCTCCCGATCCGCCTTGATCTGATGGTCGATCAATGCCAACAAGAATTCGTACGTCTTTTGAGGATGCTTGTCCGGCAGTCTATGGTAGGCATTGAGGCCGAATTCCATCTTCTTGCTCCCCTTGATCTTCCTGTAGAGGATATCTCTGAGAGCCAATTTACTGGGTCTGTCCTCGCTCCTCATCTTTAGCAGCAAATCACACCACTTGTTCCTGAACATAACCAAGTTCTTGTCTCCAGGAAAGTCAAGGTTGAATAGGTGCTCGATGTGGTAGACAAGATCCGTTCTATCAGACGTTCTGAATGATTGCATAACCAATGCCACCAACTCTCGTCCCTTCACGATCACCCCTTGTTGATGTCGTAGTTCCGAGTGTCGCGTAGCGTCGAGGTACACGTCTTTGGCTTCGTCAGGTGCTTGTTTCAACATATTCTGCATGCCCATGGCCATCTTGATATCTATCGTAGCAAATCTGTCGCCACCTGAATCGCTAAGCATATTCAGGTCTGGGTTTAACCCAAGAGCTTGTTCCAACCATTTTGTCCATGTGTCGGTATCTGGATCTGCGCATGCGCTCAGAACATTCATCAGCAGTTGCATCTTCCAGTTATCAAGTTGGTGGATCTTTGGCCAAGCGGGAATAGACACCCTCTCGGCTTCTTTCCTCGAGATCCTCGGTCTTTCGTTCTTGACCTCTCGATCACCCTTCGATCTTCTGCGCCTCCTCCGTGTTCGATTGTCATCTTCTTCCTCTTCCTCTTCCTCATCTTCTTCGTCCTCCTCGTCATCGTCGTCCTCGTCCTCATCATCGGGTGGGTCATCCGGAGGTCCTCCTCCGCCACCTGTGAGGCTCAACTGACGTCGACTTGCTCCCTGCCTATTCCCATTAGGCGAGAATCCACCGTAATCCAATGGGGGTGTAGTACCGTTGTTTCCCCCTCCATCACCACCACCAGTCGTAGTAGTGGATTGTGGGACGTGCCCAACAACCCCTTGCATCTGGGATAGGTGTACATCGATCATTGGATCACCAAAGGACGGAAAGAGAATCGAACCTGGCATTAGCGACGAATTAGGGGTCAGATTTGAAGACGATGACGGGACTAATCCAGCCACCCTCTTGTCTACCCTATTCGAATTAGCTTGGGGTCCTCCCTCAGCGCGCTTCACTACTGCTCGTTCACGATGTCCATCTTTACTGCTAGAGGCTTCCTGTGTCTCCAGCTTCTTGAGTGCACGTAGTTCCTCATTGTCAGCATCGAGTTGACGAACAAAACTCTCTTCCTGCTTGAGTGTCGCCTCCCTTTCCTTCAGTTGTCCCTGAAGCTCGTGCATTTCCTCAAGGTACTCATCATACACTCCCTTGGCTGTCAATCTCCAGTACTCAGCCTCCTTCGACTTCTCGTCCATCGTGCACCGTTCTTCTTGTTTTGCTTCTTTGACCTGGGCTAACTCCAAGATCGCATCTTGACGATGACCACCCTCGATAGCAATCATCTGGTCCTTCATCGACACGTCGGATTCATACTGTTTGACGATCTCTTCCTTCTCGCGAAGCAAGCAATCTGCTCTCTTTGATTCCTGTTCCGCGAATACTGTAACGTCGTTCAGTCTCGCCATCAGCTGTTCCCTGGAGTCCTCCATAGAGTACGTCTCGGGGCGCTTGACGAGTGCGTGCTCCAACTGTGATTTCAGACTTTGGACCATCTCCTCCTCGTTGAACTTCTCGATAGATGTAGACGATTCGATGCCTCTGATCTGTTGCTGATAAACTGATATTTGTTGTGAAGCTTCACGGTGTATCTGATTTGCATGTATAGCTGATTCCTGCGCGGCCGACTTCTCGCTTGCCATGTAGGATTTCATCACTGCAATCTCCCGCTTCTGCTCCATAATAGTTCCTTCAGCTTGTCTCATCTGTTGCATTATAACATTCGACTCCATGTCTTTCTTTTCCCCGTACTGATATGCGTTCATTTCCACCTTGCGCATCTGTTGGGCTTCCTCCTCAAACTTGCGCCATGCCTCAGCCATGTGGTGTTGGTGGTGACTCACTAGATGTCCCGACTGCTTGCTGGCAATCTCGCATCGTCTCTCCAGCTCCTGGATCCGGATGGTGCTTCCATAGTCTTCTTGATGAAGATTCGCCATCGCTGCCGACATTTCATCAAGTGTCTTTTGATATTCCCCGATCTCCATCTCCATCTTGTTCTTTTCTTTAATCGCGGCGCGAAACTCTGCACTGGTGGGTGATTTTGACCTCCCACCTTTTGATGTTGACCTCACGCCCTTCTGCGACGTCCGTGGTGTCGCAGGCGAAGATGATGATCTTCTCGGTGGGGATTCTCTTTGCTTCGACTCCTGATGAACATCGATCTGCTTCCATGATCTTGTGGGAGTGGATATGTCGCTGAATAGCGCGGATCCTCCGCTCCCAGGTTCATCCTGTGAATCTGCGATCATATCCATCACCGCAGGAAGAGCCATCAATCCATTGGATCCCTCTGAGCTGCTGTTCCCAAAAGTTGCAGTACTTGGGCTCGCTGAAGATGCCATTGTACTGTGTAGGTTATTGTTCCTTTATTGTCCCTGTACCCGCAATAAACCAGCTGTCTCTCTGTCCAGTGTAGAGCTTGTCGTTACGGCTGATAACCTGTCAAGAGACGGCAAGGTGACGTCCCGTGGGACGCTGTGCACCGAACCCTCCAGCTGTAATACCAACCACGTAGAAAGGTGTATACGGTCAATGCCGTTATAGCCGAACCCGTGTAACCGTTGTAAGGGAGAAGGAATAATAGTTACAACAGTGGTCCTGACAAATGCAGCGCAGGCGAAGTGTTTTCCGCTCTCAATGCCGATCACGTGTGAACGCAGCTACACATCAGATCTTGAACCTCAATTGTGTCTTGAGCCAAATGGCGATCAATGGAACTCGGTAAGCAACACTAACACAGACCGCAGAACTGCTTCCCAATTTAGGCACGGGGCCTAGAGGGTTTTAACAGCAGAAACAGCCTTTCGCAACGCGCCCGGTTTACAGTGAATGAAGCATATGAACGAATGAACGAATGCATACGCGCTAACAGTAAATGCAACGAATGCACAGCACAAAGACTCAATGCCTCGCTCGAGCTTGAACGTCTTGCCTCTATCCAAGTAGCGCCGCGCCACGTACAAATCCAAATGCTCTGGGTCATTGGATTCCACGATCCTTGTAACACCCTCAAAACATGGAAGAACCATCCTTTTGTCCCCAAAGACATTGCAATCCATTAAAGCTATGCTTTAGCAAGCCATGGGGCTTTCACCGTTCTCAGTGCAAAAATCGCCATGCTAGAAATAATGATTATCAACAACTTTGTAAATGCATTCTGCGCATTCCTAAAACCAGCCGATGGTAGCAAAGGCTCTCTTGCCAGCTGCGTGTTTCTAAAGGCAAATGTGCGCGCCAGTCGCGTACATCGGAGGATTTGGACGCCCATCTGCAAATCCTTAGCTCGTCAAAGCGGCCACACTTGACTAAGTTGGGCTTTGACAAATTGCCCCGAATCAATGAGCGGCACACACCTGGCAAGCCAAGCATTGCACTCAACTGCACAAAGCAGATCGTTTGAAGCCATGGAGTAGGAACCAAAAATCCACCAAGGCCCTTGGCTCTGAGGCAATCAGATGACTGAAGCGAAGCGACCGAGGGGTAAGTATAGTATAACAACTAATACTAGTTAGTGCTCGAGCCCACCTCCCCCCGAGAAAAACATATGGTTTCGTTGTTTGGAGTTGTTGAGTTTAGAGCATGTGTTTGAGTGCCTGCGATAGTGAGTTTGGGAGCTGGTGCTTAGCTTGAGGGCAATCATCGCCAGCACCACCTGTCTGCATCGCCAATCACCTGTCCAACGTTGCTGTTCTTTTGGCTGCGAAGAACAGCCTAGTGTTGAGAAAACTGGGCTGCTTCGAAAAAAAAAGCTCCACATCGGCAGCATCAGTTGCTTGCGTCGCCAGCATTGCCTGCTCCCCCTGCTGCGCTTAAAAGCACACGGAAAACGTTGGTCCGCGTCGACCGTCACATGTTCACAGTTGTTGTTGATTGAGAATTGACCGTGTAAAACAGCTCGGTTTTGGACTGAGAAAGCCCAGAACTTGGCACTTGCCAACAGCCGACACACTACTCCAGCCAGTTGCAAAAGGCGTTGTTTGTTCCTGTGGAAGCTCGATCCACACTAATATTTGCTCTTGCTAGAAGTACTAGCAAATCGCGCACACGAATTCCCTCGCGGAAGCTACCCTCCACAAACAACTTGCCCATGGGAGGCCCGCGGAAGCACTCATACAGAAACATGCTCGCGGACGCACCACGGAAGGTTTCACGGAACCTGTCCAATCAAACTTAATGGCAGCGAATAAAAAACACCACTCAGGTGATGCTGGCGAGGCGAATTGCCCGAGGCACAGATTCATAGTGGAATCTGCTTCTTGACATTGCGACTCTCAACCAGTGTCGCAAATCTTCAAGAGCACGATGTCTTCAACCGAAAACAAAAGCAGTACTTGAGGGTAAGCTGAACACCTACAGGTCTCCCTCTGTCCCCCACTTTCTGTGCAGAGAAATGGTTGAAGCTTGGTAGGGTTGTGCTTAGTCTTCTCGCAAGCAGAACATGGGTCGGCCAGAATTTGTCCCTGTGTATTCTGCCAAAATGCAATAGACCCCCTTCACTCAAAGAGCAGGGGGTCTAAGAAACAGCAAGCGTTGCGAATGGCCAGGACAGAATCAGCGCCATGTGCGCAAGGCAAAAAACACCTCATAATCTACGAGTACCAGGGAAAAACTGCAGAACAATTGCAATTTTCGCGTGGGTGAATTCTTTCCTGGGCCTCCTCCGCCTTTGCCTGAATCCCACTGAGCCATGTGCACCCGGCTGTTTCTTTGTTCCCAACAACCCCCCTGTCGGTTCTCGGACGCCTCCAAGTCTGCAGTATGCCGTATGAATGCGGATTTGGTCTTATGAAGTCTTCAATGTTACATGTTGGGACGCGACAACATTCCAGTTACAATTGGCTCCAACATTGCGCTCCTCTTGCAGGCGAGCTGCCAGTACGGACCCTTATCCACAACTTGCAAATCCTCGCTATCCTCAGCTTTGCAAATTCAAACCGCGCGCATTCCACATCTGAGGGCGCTGGCCATCTGAATTCTTTGTGAAAAAGGGGTCTCACTTCTCCCTCAAACCACCACACCCCTCCTCCACTGCCCCTTTGCCTGAATGAAGAAGTGGAGGAGGTGGGGGTGGGGTGGTGGTGGGAGAGCGGGGTGGCGGTGGTGGTGAAGGGAAGCGAAGGAGAGCGGACGGCGGGGTGGCGGAGGAGACATGGGGGGGTGCTTCTTGCCGAGGAATCATGTTCTATCCGAACGGGGATTTTGTCCGCCGCAGTTTTGGTCTAGGGTTGCTTTAGGGTAGCTTTAGTCTTGGCCCAGGGTTGATGTCGTGGGTGTTTGAGTGGTTGGTTTGCGGTTGGCTTAGGTTTTGCTTAGGGTTGGTGCAGGGATGGCTTTAGTTTAGAGTTGCTTCAAGGTCCAGGCTGGTTTGGTTTAGGGTTGTAGGGTTGGGGTTAGTGTGGGTTTAGGCTTGCTTTAGGGTTGGCTTAGGGTGGGTTGGTTTGGCGTCGGTTCGTAGGGTTGGTTTCAGGTAGGTTTAGGGTGCGCATAGGGTTGGTTTTGGGTGGGTTTAGGGTCGGTGTAGGGTTGGCTCCCGGTTGGTTTGGAATTGGTTTAGGGTTGGTTTGGTTATGGTGGGTTAGGCATGCTTTGAGGTTGGTTTAAGGTTGGCTGGGGGTGGTTTTGGGGGGTGTGGTTAGGGTGGGTTCAAGCTTTGAGAGGTTTTACGGTCGGTCTAGGTTTGGCTTTGGGTTGGGTAGATGTCGGCTTGGGCTGGTATTGAACTGGTTTAGGGTGGCTTGGTTTGCTTTGGGTTGGATTAGGCTTGCTTGCTTGCTTGCTTGCTTGCTTGCTTGCTTGCTTGCTTGCTTGCCTGCCTGCCTGCCTGCCTGCCGGCCTGCCTGCCTGCTTGCGCGCTTGCTTGCTTGCTTGCTTGCTTGCTTGCTTGCTCGCTCGCCCGCCCGCCCGCCCGCCCGCCCGCCCGCTCGCTCGCTCGCTTGCTCGCCTGCTCGCCTGCTTGATTGCTTGCCTGCCTGCCTGCCTACCTGCTTGCTTGCTTGCTTTGCTTGCTTTGCTTTGCTTTGCTTTGCTTTGCTTCGCTTTGCTTTGCTTTGCTTTGCTTTGCTTGCTAGCTTGCTTGCTTGCTTGCTGGCCTGCTCGCCTGCTCGCCTGCTCGCCTGCTCGCCTGCTTGCTTGCTTGCTTGCTTGCTCGCTGGCTCGCTTCCTTGCTTGCTTGCTTGCCTGCCTGCCTGCCTTGCTTGCTTTGCTGTGCTTTGCTGTGCTGTGCTGCGCTTTACTTTGCTTTGCTTTGCTTTGCTTGCTTTCTTTACTTGCTTGCTTGCTTGCTTGCCTGCCTGCCTGCCTGCCTGCTTGCGCGCTTGCTTGCTGTGCTTTGCTGTGCTGTGCTGCGCTTTACTTTGCTTTGCTTTGCTTTGCTTTGCTTGCTTTCTTTACTTGCTTGCTTGCTTGCTTGCCTGCCTGCCTGCCTGCCTGCCTGCCTGCCTGCTTGCTTGCTTGCTTGCTTGCTTGCTTGCTTGCTTGCGTGCTTGCGTGCTTGCTTGCTTGCTTGCTTGCTTGCTTGCTTGCTTGCTTGCTTGCTTGCCTGCCTGCCTGCCTGCCTGCCTGCCTGCCTGCCTGCCTGCCTGCCTGCCTGCCTGCCTGCCTGCCTGCCTGCCTGCCTGCCTGCCTGCCTGCCTGCCTGCCTGCCTGCCTGCCTGCCTGCCTGCCTGCCTGCCTGCCTGCCTGCCTGCCTGCCTGCCTGCCTGCCTGCCTGCCTGCCTGCCTGCCTGCCTGCCTGCCTGCCTGCTTGCTTGCTTGCTTGCTTGCTTGCTTGCTTGCTTGCTTGCTTGCTTGCTTGCTTGCTTGCTTGCTTGCTTGCTTGCTTGCTTTGCTTGCTTGCCTGGTTGCTTGCTTTGCTTGCTTGCTTGCCTGCTTGCTTTGCTTTGCTCTGCTTTGCTCTGCTTTGCTTTGCTTGCTTTGCTTGCTCGCTCGCCCGCCTGCGTGCTTGCTCGCCTGCTTGCTTGCTCGCCTGCTGCTTGCGTGCTTGCTTGCTTGCCTGCCTGCCTGCTTGTCTGCTTGCCTGCTTGCTCCCCTTCTTGCTTGGGTTTAGGGTTGGTTTCGGGTTGGCGGCACTCTTGCTTGCTTGCTCGCTTGCTTGCTTGCTTGCTTGTGCACTGACTTGCTTGCTCTCTTGCTCGCTTGCTTGCTGACTCGCTCGCTTGCTTGCTTTCTGGCACGCTTGCTTGCCAGAATTGGAAAGAAATTGGGCCAACATGCTCCCGGTTTCAGTTGGGAGAACTGTCCAAAAAGGGATCGGCGTGCACCAGTTGCATCGAGGCCCGCAGAAGAAAATTGAGCGGCGTTTAGAACTGAGGGGCGGCACTGGGCGGCAATAAGTACGGGTTTGCACGCTAAAGCCACCAAAATCATAGAAGCTACACGGGGCAAACAGCGCAACTTGAAGTACAACAACTAAACCAGCAACGGAGCTGCTAATCGCAAGCTGCCATCGATCAAAAAGCACGGCTCCCTCACTGCAAGCGCAACACTAACAAATTGTGATTCTCGATTCAGCCGAAAGGCTGGTAGGAAACAACTGAGAAACATGCGTCAACGTGTCTACGTTACCACTCTTCAACAACCCAAGCGCAAGATCACAGCTTGGTTCTGGCCTGGGGGCAAACAGAGCCTGGAATGGCGGCGCTTCGAACAGGTTTGCTCAGGAAACAGGGAACGACTTCCAGACTTGCAATATCTTGCAGCACTCGAACCGCAACAAAGCCCCGGTACAGCCGAGGCTTCGTAGAGCACAGCTGGCTCCGACTTCTTGAGCCTGGATTTGTATGGCCGGCGCACGGGCTGCGAGGGCGGCGGCGGGACCTCCTCGGGCTTCGCAGTGTCTGTCGTGTTGGTCGTGTGGGTCCAATATCTGCGGCCCTGCTGCCACAAATAGGGGAGCTGAACTATTGGCCCATGGCGATGTCTCTGGCCGCAGCAGCTGGACTTGCAAATGCCTTGATACTGCACCAAACACAGAAGTGGCCCGTCAAGCCATTTTGGTTGCAGCTTCCGCAAAAAGCGCATCTCCTGTAGGCTTTCGCTCAAACCTTCGATCATTTCTAGAATCCTCTCCCACCGCTTTGACTCTGAGGTCTCGAATTGCCAAGAGAATGTTTGCTGCCGCTCCAAACGCAACCAGAGTGGTCCTGGAGTCGAACCAAAGAGTCGGCTTCGGCCGGAAAACTGACAACACTCAAGCAAGTTTTGGTGTCACTGCTCGGAACAAGCGGAAGGGTCCTCGAGCGTACTCCTCCCTTTCTGCGGTCGCCTCAATGAGACGCCGAGCGTCCAGCGGCGAGAGTCGATTGTGTGACAGGTGCAACTCCAGCAAGGGCACCTAGGCAACTCCTTTGAGCAAGCATGCAGTGCGGCAAGCGCTACGCCATATGATCGTGCAACGTGGGCAAATGCAACGCCAAAGGCAGAAACTGTTCGTCGGCGCGAGCCTCGCTTTCCAGCAGGAGCTTTGCCAGAGCGCAAGCCCCCGCCTCGCCAATGCGGTTCCTTGGCCAAGCATAATGTGTTCCTTGCGCGTTGGAAGAAGCTGGAACCGTGGCTTGATGGCTTGTTGGTTTGCTGCGCAATTGTGATGCAAATGAATCCCGCGAGGCTGGGAATAGGCACAGAATGAACAACAACACAAAGAACACCAAACGTCTGAAATGGCCTGAAGTGGACTGAACGCGTGCGCCAAGAACCCCACCGGTGCAGGCGAAGGTTGCGCAGTCGCAGTGGCATGGCCAGGGCAGCCTTGGACAGCTGCTCAACGCCTCGGACGGGCCCGAGGAAGGCCCTGAAGAAAGGCCCGAAGGAAGGCCGCAAAAGGAGCCCCGTACGACAGTAGATTGCATCCTATGTGGCCAACACCTGCGACCTTGAAATACTGAGAAAAACACAAAGGCTATCTTTCAAATTATTGTAACTATTCCAACTATTTCCCTTTGAGGGGAATTACAGACTCATAACTTCTCTAATTCCTCCAATTATTCAACGCCCTTTGTGTGGAATTCCAGACCCAAAAAAATCCTAGATATTCTTCTATTTGCTCTAATTATTCTATTCAAAAAGCATAATTGGAATAGCTGGGGCAATTTCAAAAAGGTTGGGAGGAATTCCTGTTTCTAGTCACTCTATTTTTTCTAGTTGTTCTGAATTCTCGAGAAATGCTTATAAATCGTCTAATTATTTCCCTTTGGTGGGGGAGTTTCAGACTCAAAATTTCTAATTTTTCTAACTTTCTATTTTGTCTAATTATTTTAGAACAATTATGTAAACTGAAAAACTAGGAAACCTATGAGTCTGGAATTCCACCCAAAGGGAAATAATTAGAAAAATTAGGAGGAGAAATAAAAACATTTCTGACGCTGGCATTCCCCCCAAATCAGAATAGTTAGAATATCCCCAAGAGCATGGTGCTCCTTGTAGTGGTCGCACCACGGTGGAACCCTGGTGGAACCCTTGTGGAACCCTCGTGGAACCTTACCTCAGGGCCGCCCCGGACCACCCCGAAGGTTCTCTGGGCTGAGACCCCAAAGCTTTCAGCTGTTAGCAAATAACTAGAAACAATTAACCCTTTTTCTGACGATTTTATTTATGCGTCTGGATTTTTTCCTCTCAAAGGAGAAAATTGGAATGACTAGGCAAATTAAAAACAAATTAGCATTAGCCCCTTATGCGTCCAGAAATCCTCCCAAAGGAAGTGAGAACCTTTAAAAACAACCCTATTTTCCAATTATTCTAGAATTCCTCCCAAAGGAAAAAATCAGACTGGTTAGAATAATTGGAGCACACTTAGCTTTGTTTAGCTCTTCTATTTATTCTGTTTTTCAAATTCGTTCGAACAATTAGAGTGATAAGAGTAGTTAGAATACTTGCAAGAACTATGAGTCTGGAATTCCGCCCAAAGGGAAGCACGAATGAATAGAAGCAACATGGCCGTATGTTGCCTTATTTTTGCGAACTATTCGTCTGGAATTCCTCCCAAAGGGAAAGAAATAGAAAAATAATTTTTAAGTGTTCCAATTATTCGATTGGAATTCCACCCAAATAGAAATAATTAGACTGATGAGAAGAAATAGAAAAATTTCTGACGCTGGCATTCCCCCCAAATGAGAATAGTTGGAATACGCCCAGGCGATATCCCTAAAAGCATTCGGTGCTCCTTTTAGTACCCCGCAAACTCGTGAAACATTTAACCCTCGTGGAACCTTACCTCAGGGCCGCCCCGGACCACCCCGAAGGTTCTCTGGGCTGAGACCCCAAAGCTTTCAGCTGTTAGCAAATAACTAGAAACAATTAACCCTTTTTCTGACGATTTTAATTATGCGTCTGGATTTTTTCCTCTCAAAGGAGAAAATTGGAATGACTAGGCAAATTAAAAACAAATTAGCATTAGCCCCTTATGCGTCCAGAAATCCTCCCAAAGGAAGTGAGAACCTTTAAAAACAACCCTATTTTCCAATTATTCTAGAATTCCTCCCAAAGGAAAAAATCAGACTGGTTAGAATAATTGGAGCACACTTAGCTTTGTTTAGCTCTTCTATTTATTCTGTTTTTCAAATTCGTTCGAACAATTAGAGTGATAAGAGTAGTTAGAATACTTGCAAGAACTATGAGTCTGGAATTCCGCCCAAAGGGAAGCACGAATGAATAGAAGCAACATGGCCGTATGTTGCCTTATTTTTGCGAACTATTCGTCTGGAATTCCTCCCAAAGGGAAAGAAATAGAAAAATAATTTTTAAGTGTTCCAATTATTCGATTGGAATTCCACCCAAATAGAAATAATTAGACTGATGAGAAGAAATAGAAAAATTTCTGACGCTGGCATTCCCCCCAAATGAGAATAGTTGGAATACGCCCAGGCGATATCCCTAAAAGCATTCGGTGCTCCTTTTAGTACCCCGCAAACTCGTGAAACATTTGTGGAACCCTGGTGCAACCCTGGTGGAACCCTGGTGGAACCCTGGTGGAACCCTCGTGGAACCTTACCTCAGGGCCGCCCCGGACCACCCCGAAGGTTCTCTGGGCTGAGACCCCAAGGCTTTCAGCTGTTAGCAAATAACTAGAAACAATTAACCCTTTTTCTGACGATTTTAATTATGCGTCTGGATTCCTCCCTCTCAAAGGAGAAAATTGGAATGATTAGGCAAATTAAAAACAAAATAGCATTAGCCCCTTATGCGTCCAGAAATCCTCCCAAAGGAAGTGAGAACCTTTAAAAACAACCCTATTTTCCAATTATTCTAGAATTCCTCCCAAAGGAAAAAATCAGACTGGTTAGAATAATTGGAGCACACTTAGCTTTGTTTAGCTCTTCTATTTATTCTGTTTTTCAAATTCGTTCGAACAATTAGAGTGATAAGAGTAGTTAGAATACTTGCAAGAACTATGAGTCTGGAATTCCGCCCAAAGGGAAGCACGAATGAATAGAAGCAACATGGCCGTATGTTGCCTTATTTTTGCGAACTATTCGTCTGGAATTCCTCCCAAAGGGAAAGAAATAGAAAAATAATTTTTAAGTGTTCCAATTATTCGATTGGAATTCCACCCAAATAGAAATAATTAGACTGATGAGAAGAAATAGAAAAATTTCTGACGCTGGCATTCCCCCCAAATGAGAATAGTTGGAATACGCCCAGGCGATATCCCTAAAAGCATTCGGTGCTCCTTTTAGTACCCCGCAAACTCGTGAAACATTTGTGGAACCCTGGTGCAACCCTGGTGGAACCCTGGTGGAACCCTGGTGGAACCCTCGTGGAACCTTACCTCAGGGCCGCCCCGGACCACCCCGAAGGTTCTCTGGGCTGAGACCCCAAGGCTTTCAGCTGTTAGCAAATAACTAGAAACAATTAACCCTTTTTCTGACGATTTTAATTATGCGTCTGGATTCCTCCCTCTCAAAGGAGAAAATTGGAATGATTAGGCAAATTAAAAACAAAATAGCATTAGCCCCTTATGCGTCCAGAAATCCTCCCAAAGGAAGTGAGAACCTTTAAAAACAACCCTATTTTCCAATTATTCTGGAATTCCTCCCAAAGGAAAAAATCAGAATGGTTAGAATAACTGGAGCACACTTAGCTTTGTTTAGCTCTTCTATTTATTCTGTTTTTCAAATTCGTTCGAACAATTAGAGTGATAAGAGTAGTTAGAATATTTGCAAGAACTATGAGTCTGGAATTCCGCCCAAAGGGAAGCACGAATGAGTAGAAGCAACATGGCCGTATTTCTCTTATTTTTGCGAATTATTCGTCTGGAATTCCTCAAAAAATAATTAGCATGATTAGAATACATGGAAAAATTAATTGGGGATAGAATGATTGGAGCGGTTGCGTAAATGAGTCTGGCATTCCGCCCAAGCGGAAATGATTTGACTATTTAGAATACTTCGGAAAAACCACTCTTGACACCTATATCAAATCCCCTCTAAGAACATGCCCAACTCCGTTTACAATAATTAGAACAATTAAAACAATTCAGAAAGTAGGAGTCTGCATTAGAACTCTAACTACTCTGTTCAGTTGGAGTAATTAGAACAAATAGAACAAACTTAACCTACATGAGTCCGGAACCCCCCCGCAAAGGTAAATGATTAGAATACAGGAAACAATTATGAAAAATGCCATACCTGTTTCCTAATCACTCTAACTATTTTGCACTGATCGTTCAATTAAGATAATCATGTCAAAGAATTGAAGAACATGAGTTTGAGTCTGGAAATCGCCCCGAAGGGAGATAGTGAGAGTACTTGGAGCAATGAGGAAAAGTATAGCAATTTGTTCTAGTTATTCTTATTATCTTATTTAGACTGAGTATAATGATTAGAAAAAGTAAGGAAAATGAGGCTGGAATTCCTTCCCAAGGGAGATATTTAAAATAATTAGAATGATGAGAAACATATCCGCCGACATTGCTCGGCGTGTCGGATAATGAAGAAGTTTGGACAGTTCAAATTGATTAGACTGATTAGGACAAGTAAGCTAATTAGAAAAAAGGAAACATAGACCGCCGATTGCATCTCCCAAGTGCCGCTCATTCCTCTTTCTCTTCATTTGCCGTTCTGTATTCCCCTTCCTCCCTCATATATTTCATTTCCCCCCCCCTTCACCCCATGCATTTCATTTGTTCCCCCTTCGTTTCAGTTCTCCTGTCATCTCGCTTCATTTCCTTGCATATCCCTCATTTTCCCATGTCCCTTTCATGTCTCGTAGTGCCTTCGTTTCCCTTTCAATGTATTTGCCCCTAAGTTCCTTCCATGTTCTTTCGTTGCTCCCCGCACATGCCCCTTCATTACCCCTTCTTTTCCTTGTTCTTTTTAGCCAAACCATTCCATGGGAGGCACACACGGTTTCTTACTGTTCTAATTACACTCATGTTTGCGTCAGAGGCTCTAAAAGTAAAAGCCCCTATCCAAGTAAAAGTAGACATCCGATGCGGGCTGATGGCCCGCGTCCGAGATCTGGTTGTCAGCAAGGCGCAGGTCGTTCCTAAGCAACCGTCGAAACACCGTGGACTTGTTCACAAGCAAGGCCAGCACAGGCACAAGTACCTTAATGTCTGCCAGGAGCGGTGACGCATGACCTTTGCAGGCGAATCGTTGGCGCGTTGCGAAGACGTTTCAACGCCCTGCCTGCTTCTGGAGATTACGCAAAATCACCTTGAGCTCATCGTCAGTAATGTTCCACCTGGATGCTCAAATCGAATCCAAAAACACGGAAGGGGCTGTGTCGTCCCAGGCCTCTCAGTGCAGAGGGAAAGCTCTCCTCAGGGCGACCAGCCGTTTTGCTTCTGCAGTTATCATGCCACGTGTGTTCTAACGCGCAGTCCTGTAGAGTCTTGAAACCTGATGGACTCGATCCATTCCTGTCGCACGCGTCGCGCCTGAGTCCCTGCGAGTGTCCGGCTGTCCGGCTGTCCTGTCTTCTCCATGCCATCATATCACAACGGCACGACTGCACCTGAAAAGTGAACCCGGTCTGCACATATGAACAGCTCATACAAGTCTGGCAAGGTTGACAATGAACAGAACACAAGCCGAAAGCGCAGCGACTGGCCATGTCGCTTCCGGAAGGGTTCTTTGGGGCAACGGCATGAACAGCAGGCGTTGATCCGCGCTGTCTTATTGATGCGAATAGTCCTGTAAACAGCGTATCACGGAAAGCGCGGCAAGGGTTTTCATAAGTGCGTGGAACGCTACTCTCAACGAAAAGAAAACGGCCCTGGAGCCAAAAATGTTACACGATTGTGTGGGGTTCAAGGTGAAGCAAAAGCAAAAACACAACAGACACATTAGTCAGGATGCAATTAGCCTTTCAAAGCTAGATTCAGATTTGGAAGGCAAAAGAGGTACCTTGACGTGCCTGAAGACTGCATGAGAATGGTCTTCTAAACAAAGAGGTTAATATCGCGATCCGAATAGTCTTGTCGTCGATGAGGTCAATGGACAAGACTCAGCGAGTTGCGCGTGGTGAATTTGGGCTCCGCGCTTGATTATGTTTATCGCCACTTCTTCCCCTGATGGCTGCTGTCTGATGCTATTCCAGAGTAGTCTACACAGGATTAGTGATCTTGATTCCTCCATCCGGAATAGTCGCTGACTTTGTTGTCGCGCTTCTTCTTGCCCCGTGACGCCAAGTGTTCTTCTTGCGGCCATGCTCCTTGCTCTTCTGGATGTTTCTTTGCTTGGCTTCAGATCAACTGCGGATGTGTACCAATAGCGGGAGGTTCGAGTCAGAATCACATGTTGCATTCATGAGCATCTCGTTCGTGATCTCTCCGTTGAAAAACCTGATAGTCGGCGACGGTGAGGAGGCTGTCGTTTCCGAATTTCGTCTGGTCGTCAGGCTTCATTGAGTCCAATTCTTGTTGCCGGAACGCTTGTTAAACACGACTGTGCTTGGAAAGGTTCGGTCTTAGTCTTAATACTGGACTGCGCGTTGGTCTGAAGTATCCATTGCTCAATCAAGGTGGCCAATGAGTGGCGGCTGGCACGGTAGAGAGAAGACCATTGTCCGGACAATAAGCCTGCTAATGCCTGCTGAAACTGCCGGCAATCGCGCCAGGGGCATCGGTGACGTCACCTTGGAAGTCATTCTTCATCTCACTGTTGATGGCGACAATCTCCTTGCTCTTCCCTTTGGCCTTGATGGATGTGCGGGGGCAAGTGTTGGCGCACGCGCTCCCAGCGATTGTCCTTCGTGAACATGTAGTCTCCTGCGGGCGCCGGGCCTTCTGGGGTCGAACTGTTGTATTCAGGGTCGCGCGCGCGTCACCGCTGGTGCCAAAGTAAACATCTGAAAATCCGCATGTTGTTCCCCAGCACTCTGTCGGAAATGTATCGCCAAGAGATCAACTCTGGCATTGTGGTTGCCACGAACAAAGCAAGCGATGAGCCGAGCTGTCCAAGCTTAAGGCGATGCCATTGTATCCGTCGCGAACGAACATCTGAATGAGTTCCTTCATCTTGGTACACATGATGCGCGCCCTGTTGCAGAGGAGCCTTTTCGTCAGAGGTCGATCGCGGAGTAGCATGTCCTTGAACTTTCGGTCACTCTTTCTCGGGTCTTTGGTCATGGATCCAAGGTGAGCAAGTTGAGCATTGTCCCGGCATGCTCTTGGCGGCGGATCGATGTTCCTTTCAGCGACCGTTCTCCAGAGATCTGTGTGTTGCGATGAATGCTGGGTGCGAATGCCAGGATGGGCATCGCACCCCTTCCTGTTGAGAATTTACACTGCTAGGCACCCTAAGATAGATTTAGATGACCATGAAACACGCGGCACTCTCCGTAAAGAAGTTTGAGTAGCTCTGAATCTTTGACCTGGCGAACCGTCCCGGGCTCAAGCTGAGAGCTGGAAAACGCGTTCATGGCGGCGGAGCCCTGGACTAAAACGGTCTAGGGCGCGGTCGTTTTGCATGGACGCTGATATTGGTGCTTAATTGGTGAAGGCAGCAGCCATAGTTTCTAGCAGTTCGAGCACTGCCATGGTTGATTTGGATTATCAGCACACAGCCTTGCCTCTTCAGTTGCACAGTTTCCTGCTTGCATACACACAGGGCAATGCATTCAGAATGGTGGAAGAGGTGCGAGACTGTTGAGGGAAGGAAAAGGCAAGGGCGAGGACCACTTTGCCAAAGGCAAGGGCAAGGACAAAGGCAAAGGCAAGCCAAGTGGAAAATCGCAATTCGAGCAGGAAAAGAGGCCAACAGAGATGCAGCGGATGCTACGATGATCTTCCTCATTGTCATCATCGTCATCATCGTCATCATCACCCCCGTTGTCCTCATTATCATCGTCATCATCATCCACTGTTGGAGATGCAAGGGATGCTACGATGATGCTTGTGATCGTCATCGTTGGAGATGTCATCATCTTCCTCATAGTCATCATCCTCATCATCACCGCTATCATCATCATCATCATCATCCTCATGCTCAGCATCGTCCCTGCAAGAGATGCTGGGGATGCGTCGTGATAATTGTCATCGCCCGATTTGAGATGCAGAAGATGCGTGTTCATGATTATCATCATGACTGCTAGTGATGCTGAGGATGCATAGTGATGATTATCATCCGGTTTCAGATCCACAAGATGTGTGGGCATGAGTATCCTCATGACTGCTGGTAATGCTGAGGATGCTGCGATGATACTTGCTGACGCGGCTGATTCCTGTGATCTTCCTCATAGTCATCCTCATCATCATCACCGTTTCATCATCATCACCGTCATCATCACCCACTGTTGTAGATGCAGATGCTGCGATGACACTTGTCATCGCCCTCGTTGGAGACACAGCGGATGCTTGGATGACACTTTTCATCATCTTCCTCATGGCCCTCATCATCATCACCGTTAGATGCTACGATGAAACTTTTCCTCATCTTCCTCATGGTCATCATCATCGTCATCATATCAAGGGGTGCTACGATGAGACTTATCACCGTCATCGTTGGAGATGTGCTACAATGATACTTCATCGCCGCTATCATCATCATCCTTTCTTTACTTCTTATATAGAAATCAAACGGCACGTTAGACACCACTTGCAACGCAACGGGCGCTACAATGATAGCTATCCAGGCACTGCTAGAGATGCAGAGGATGTTGCAATGATACTTGTGATGCCGCGAATGATCACTATGATCTTCCTCATAGTCATCCTCGTCATCATCACCGTTGCCATCATCATCATCGTCATCATCATCCACTGTTCGGGATGCAAGAGATGCTGCGATGATACTTGTCATCGTCCTCGTTGGAGATGCAGCGGGTGCTAGGAAGATACTTTTCATCAGCTTCCTCACGGTCATCATCATCACCATTAGATGCTACAATGATATTTTCCTCATCCTCCTCATGGTCATCATCCTTTCTTTACTTCTTACATAGAAATCATCATCATCCACTTTTGGAGATGCAGGGGGTGCTGCGATGATACTTGTCATCGTCCTCGTTGGAGATGCAGCGGATGCTACGATGATATTCTTCATCATCTTCCTCATTGTCATTCGTCATCATTGTCATCGTCATCATCATCCACTGTTGGAGATGCAGGAGAAGCTACGATGATACTTATCATGGTCACCGTTGGAGATGCAGCGGATGCTACGATGATACTTTTCATCATCTTCCTCGTAGTCATCATCCTCATCACCGCTGACATCATCATCCTCCTCACGCTGAGCACGAGATGCTGGGGATGCGTCGTGATGATTGTCATCGCCCGATTTGAGATGCAGAAGATGCGTGTTCACGATTATCATCATGACTGCTGGCGATGCTGAAGATGCATAGTGATACGTATCATCGCCGATTTGCGACGCAGAAGATGCGTATTCATGATTATCATCATGACTGCTGGTGATGCTGAGGATGCATAGTGATGATTATCATCCGAGTTGAGATTCAATAGATGTGTGGGCAATTATCCTCATGACTGCTGCTGATGCTGAGGATACTGCGATGATACTTGTGATGACGCGGCTGATCCCTGTCATCTTCCTCGCAGTCATCCTCATCATCACTTGTCTTCGTTATCGTTGGGGATGCAGCGGATGCTATGATGATACTTTTCATCATCTTCCTCATAGTCATCATCATCATCACCGTTATCATAATCGTCATCCTGGCTCTACTTCTGATAAAGAAATCAAAAGGGACGTTAGACACCACTTGCAATGCAACGGATGCTATGGTGGTAGTTCCCAGGCACTGCTAGAGATGCAGAGGATGTTGCGACGATACTTGTGACGACGCGAATGATCACTATCATCGTCCTCAAAAATGTCCTCGTCATCATCACCGTTGTCACCATCATCATCGTCATCATCATCCACTGTTGGAGGTGCAGGGGGTTCTCCGATGATACTCGTCATCGTCCTCGTTTTATTAGCGGTACGATGATACTTTTCATCATCTTCCTCATGGTCATCATCATCACCGTTAGATGCTACGACGATGCTTTTCTCACGGTCATCGTCATCATCATCACCGTTATCATCCTCATCATCATCATCCTTTCTTTACTTCTTATAGGACGTTGAACACCACTTGCAATGCAACGGAAGCTAAGATGATAGTTATCCAGCCACTGCTAGAGATGCAAAGAATGTTGCGAAGAGACTTGCGATGACGCATGGTCATCATCATCATCACCGTTAGATGCTACAGTGAATCTTTTCCTCATCTTCCTCATGGTCATCATCACCATTCTCATCATCATCATCATCCTTTCTTTACTTCTTATATAGGAATCAGAAGGGTCGTTAGACACAACTTGCAATGAGCGGATGCTACGATGATAGTTATGCAGGCACTGCTAGAGATGCAGAAAATGTTGCGATGATACTTGCGATGACGCGAATGATCACTATAGTTTTCATCATCTTCCTCATCATCACCGTTGTGATCATCGTCAGCATCATCACCGTTCACATCATTGTCATCGTCATCATCATCCACTGTTGGAGATGCAGGGGGTGCTTCGACGATACTTATCATCGTCATCGTCCAAGAAGCAGCAAATGCCACGGTGATACTTTTCATCATCTTCCTTATAGTCATCACGCTCATCATCACCGCTATCATCATCATCATCATCCTCCTCATGCTCAGCATCGTCCCTGCAAGAGATGCTGGGGATGCGTCGTGATAATTGTCATCGCCCGATTTGAGATGCATCTTCTGTTCATGATTATCATCATGACTGCTGGTGATGAGGATGCACAGTGATGAGTATCATCGCCCGATTTGCGACGCAGAAGATGCGTATCTATCATCATGACTGCTGGTGATGCTGAACATGCATAGTGATGATCCGATTTGGGATTCACCGTTATCATCATCATCATCCTTTCTTTACTTCTTGTATTTAGATCAAAAGGGACGTTAGACACAACTTGCAATGGAACGTGTGCTACGATGATAGTTTTCCAGGCACTGCTAGAGATGCAGAGAATGTTGCGATGATACTTGCGATGACGCGAATGATCACTGTTTTCATCATCTTCCTCATCATCACCGTTGTGATCATCGTCATCATCATCACCGTTGACATCATTGTCATCGTCATCATCATCCACTGTTGGAGATGCAGGGGGTGCTTCGACGATACTTATCATCGTCATCGTCCGAGATGCAGCAAATGCTACGACGATACTTTTCATCATCTTCCTCATAGTCATCATCCTCATCATCACCGCTATCATCATCATCACCCTCATGCTCCGCATCGTCCCTGCAAGAGATGCTCGGGATGCGTCGTGATAAATGTCATCGCCCGATTTGAGATGCAGAAGGTGCGTATTCATGATTATCATCATGACTGCTGGTGATGCTGAGGATGCAATGTGAGAAGTATCATCGCCCGATTCGACGCAGAAGATGCGTATTCATGACTGCTGGTGACGCTGAGTACGCATAGTGATGATTAGGTTTGAGATTCACAAGATGTGTGCAGGACTGCTGGTGACGCTGAGGATGCTGCGATGATACTTGTGATGACCCCTCTCACCTTCCTCGTAGTCATCCTCATCATCATCACTTGTCTTCGTTATCGTGGGAGATGCAGATGCTACGATGATACTTTTCATCATCTTCCTCATAATCATCAGCATCATCATCACCATTATCATCATCATCATCCTGGCTCTACTTCTTATATAGAAACCAAAAGGGACGCTAGAAACAACTTGCAATGCAACGGGTGCTACGATGCTGGTTGCCCAGGCACTGCTAGAGATGCAGAGGATGTTGCAATGATACTTGTGATGACGCGAATGATCACTCTACTTTTCATCATCTTCCTCATCATCACCGTTGTCATCATCATCATCGTCATCATCAGCCACTGTTGGAGATGAAGGGGCTGCTGCGATGATACTTGTCATTGTCCTCGTTGAAGATGCAACGGATGCTACGTTGATACTTTTCATCATCTTCCTCAGGGTCATCATCATCGCCGTCATCATCATCACCGTTTTCATCATTGTCATCGTCATCATCCACATCATCATCACCATCATCATCATACATGCATACATACATACATACATACATGGCGTGCATGACGTACATTACATACATACACACACATACACACATGCATACATACATGACATTGCATACAGTACATACATACATACATACATACATACGTACATACATACATACATACATTACAGACAGGCATACATTACATACATACATTACATACACTGCATACATACGAACGTACGTGCGTACGTACATACACACATGCAAACATACATACATACATTACAGACATACATGCACACATACATACATTGCATTACACTACATAAGAACATACATACATACACTACAGTACACGACATTACAATACAATACATCACATTACATACATACATGCATTACATTACATTACATTGTATCACAGTACATTACGTTACATGTATGCATACACACATAGATAAATACATACATACATACCACACAAACCATACATACCATACATACCAAACATACCATACATACCACACATACCACACATACTATACACACATTCCATTACATTACATTACATTACATAATGTTACATTACATTCCATTAGATTTCATCACATTACATTTCCATTACCGTTACCAACACATTACATTACATGACATACATACATACCATACATACCATACATACCATACATACCATACATACCGTACATACAATACATACCATACGTACAATACATACAATACATGCAATACATACAGTACATACAATACATACAATACATACAATACATACAATACATACAACACACACAATACATACAGTGCATACAAAACAATACAGTACAATACAGTACAGTACAATACAATACATTACATACATACATACATACATTACATACATACATACATTGCATACATTACATACATACAATACATACATACATACATTTTACTACAATACATTACATTACACTACATACACACATACATACATACATACGTACATACCTACATACATTACAAACATGCATACATACACTGCATACATTACATTGTATTGCATTACATTACATTACACACATACATGCATACAAAAACACATACAAACATACATACCATACATACCACACATACATTACATACATACATACATACATACATACATACATACATACATACATACATACATACATACATACACACATACATTGCATACATACATACATACATATATCACATACATACATACATACATACATACATACCTACATTACATACGTTACATTACATTACATCACATTACATTACATACATACATACAATCCATGACATACATACATACATACATACATACATATATGACATACATACATACATACCATACGTACAATGCATACATTACATGCAATACATACAATACATACAATGCATACAATACATACAATACATACAATACACACAACACATACAATACATACATACATACATACATACATACATACATACATACATACATACATACATACATACATACATACTATACACATACATACATACATACATACGTACATGCACGCACACATACATACATACATACGTTACGTTCCTACATACATATTTACATAACGTACGTACGTACCTACATACATACATACATGAATTACACGCATGCATGCATGCATACATACATGCATACATACATACACACATCACCTACATCACACACATATATTACAGACATACATACATACATGCATGCATGCATGCATACATACATACATACCGTACATACATACATACACTACACTACACTACACTACACTACACTACACTACGCTACGCTACGCTACACTACACACTACACTACACACTACACTACACTACATTACATTACATTGCATTGCATTGCAGTACATTACATTACATTACATTGCGCCGCATTACATTACATTACATTACATTACATACATACATTCATACACCAGCATGAAATTTCGAATTGCACCCAACATTACAAAACATGCACATAAATTAAACATTTACATATACATATGCGTATACATACAGATGTAGGAGCACAAGAAAGGCAAGCGATCAAAAAAAATCGGGTGCACGGACAGGCACATAGACATGAGAGAAAAAGAGGCAAGCAAGCTAACAAACCGGCAGGCAGGCAGGCAAGCAGGCAGGCAGGCAGGCAGGCAGGCAGGCAGGCAGGCAGGCAGGCAGGCAGGCAGGCAGGCAGGGAGCCAGCTAGGACCTAGGAAGACAAAAGGCTAGCCGGCAACGGCCCAAAATAGGGGAGGGGTCGTGCCCGGGCGGGAGGGGTCGTGCCCGGAAGCACCGACAAAAATCAGCAAAAACTTGCCACAAAAAGCGGCATCACAGACACAGGAATCCCTCATTCCCGCGTCTCCGCATCATCCAAACCGGCGCAAACGTGCAAAACCCAGAAACAGAAAACAGCCCGAAGTAAGGCCGGAAGTTTCCTGTGGCTTTGCGGTGAACAGACAAGCCGTAGCACCTGTTTTGCAGCTGCAAATCCAAGGCGCCTCAAATGCACATGGCTCCAAGCGCCGCAGGATGCGCTGGAAGCGACAAGGATCCCATCATAGGTGCAATGCTTGCGAACGTCTGTTGCATTCTACATAGTCAAGCGGTATGGCTCTTCTTTTGGCTGGTGCCGAAACCTTGAACAAGTAGAGAGCTTGCTAGCCGAGCGATCTACTCAATGGAGATGGCCGCAATTGGCATCTGTGTGCGGAGAATGCATGGCAACTTCCCTATTGGTACTGGTCATGGTGCCACCTTTGTTACACGATCTTTTAAGCCATTGTGCAGAATGTGTTTCTCTTCCTAGAGGCGCCGACTGTTTTGCTTTTGATGGTGCTCAAAGCTGGGACCAAGTATGAGACAGCGCTCTGCTTTTGCCAGTGCACAGATCAGGACCTTGGACGGATAGCGCAAGCATTACTTCACGTTTAGACCGGAAATCGTGCACTCATTGCCCAATGCCTAAGGACCAGGCGTCAGTTGCAGCGGCTTCGCGCGCATTGCAAGGTACCCCGGACGACAGGTGTTCACCCGCAGGTCCGGCGCAACTTGCCAGCTCAGGCTTCACACCGTGAGCTGCCGCATGGGCCGAATGGAAACACATGTTCGAAACGGATATATTGACAATTGATACATCTGATACATGAAGTTGGCTGTGAAAAAGAGTTGCCGAAAACTGCACATTGAATGCTGCCGAACTAAAGCTCAAGGCCTTGGGGCGGTGCTCTTAGGCAAGCACCCAAATGCCTGTTGACTGGCGCCTGACTTGGAAAGCTTGTAAGAAAAAGACAAGAAGTCGAGTCGACTTGGATTCAAAGCGTTGACATTGCCAGTCGCGGTGAAACTACCGGCATTGCTTGGTGAATGACAACGGATTACATATGCCCTTGTAGGCATCCCAGCGATGCATGAGTCTGAAACTTCGCCCGCCCGTTGATTCTGAACGTAAAACTAACAAGTTTCTCCGTCGAATCCAAATGGGGCTGGCAAATGGCTGGGCCGGTCAGCTCAGAAAAAGAGACTTTGCAATTCCCAAACCTCGGGTCGACAAGTTGCAAACTCTCCCTCTCTGGGGTTCTGACTGTGAGCGACCTGGAACCCGCGCAAACCAAGTTCAGGAAGCATCCAGGAGTGCAGGATGGCAAATGCCTTCATTTATTCTGAATCATCCTGCCCCACTCACTTGAAGTGTTTGCTGTTTCTGGCAAAACCAACTGACTCTGCCAAGACGTCAAGAGCTCGGCAACCGGCACGTTGAAAGTCCGCGCTTTGGCGGCCACTTCCAAGTTACCTGCCAGATTCACGCCTCGCAACTATTCACAAGAAGCCAAATCCAAAAATCAATGAAAGGGCGCAAAAGCCAAAAAGCCCGAAGGATGCGAAAAGCCAAAGCCGCAAAAAGCCGCCAAAAGCCGCATAAATCTGCCGAAGAGGAACTGGGAATGCAGAGGATGCGAAAAGCCAAGAAGCCAAGAAGCCAAGAAGCCAAGAAGCCAAGAAGCCAAGAAGCCAAGAAGCCAAGAAGCCAAAAGTTGAAAAGACAACAAAAACTCCCCCGTAATGTCGGGCCGCTTCGTCGCGGAACTGGACCTGGACAGATTTGCTTGGCTCGTTGCCCATTTCCGCATGCCCTTTTTATCCGCAAGTCGCTTGCGTCAAGCGCGTCGTTTACATTTGGACAGAACGTTTACAATCTCTCGAACGATCTCTCGCCAAGCTTGGGAAGGCCCGTCCCTGAAATCGCTGCGATCAAACTGATCAAACTCGGTCCAAGTCACGCTGACCTCAATCCCGCAGCCCGCTCGACATGTGTTTCATTCTTCGGAAATGCCGACAAACCTTGGACAGCGCTGCCAAGCTTCTCCACGCACCCATCCACGAGCCGCTTCGCCAACTCTATCCGTCAGCTGTTTTATACATGTCCATGGCCTCCTTGGCCCTCTGTGTCGCCCCCTTCCATTGGTTAGGGGAAGCGGAAAGCCATCTTTATCCAACAGCACCTCGTCGCAACGGCGCGGCAGCGATAGCTTGAAGCCACGGCTGCAACAAAGCTGCACCAGCATACCATACACATCGATGCTTCAGATCAAGTGCCTGCCAGAAAATCCATGGAACATACTGGCCGTTCCCACAGTCAAGCATGAACTCGTGTTCAGCGCTTCATGCAATGCACTATGTTATCCGATGCTTGTCCTATTGGTGTCTATGGCGGAATGAATGATTTGGTTTTTCAGTGTCCTTTAGCTCTGGCTATCCACCGGACTTTCCCACCAGGAATTTCCGTCAATCCCCTAGATCATAATCAGCCCGAGGTCTTTCGACGTGTGCACGTTCGGGGTGATTGACTAGATGACATGGTGATGTATGTGTGCATTTATCCCACAGGAGCCGCTCGTTGAACAATTCCACCAGATTCCAATTCAGGAGTGCCATTGGATTTCGTTTCCGTGCTAAAATGCTGCTAACCGTGCTTGATACTGGCCACAGTACAAATATATGCTCTATAAGAAATATCATGTGTGTTTATTTACCAAGTATGTAATTTGGCCCACTCACGAAAAATTCGGGGATTACACTAGAAAGCATTCCGTGCTTCTAGGCTCCGATTTCGACCCTCAGGAGTGCAGGCATCAGAGGGGCTATCAGCACATGCATGGCTTGCAAAGCAGCATCAAACGACTGGGCGCCCCTAGCAAGGTCTCATCCATCTGCTACGGCCCGCTCCAACCCACTTCAAACCAATCGCTGAGAATCTTTGGAAAGTTTGGAAATATCGAATAGAGGATGCTGCTCCCTTGAGCTTCTGCGGCAAAGCATTGCGGCAATTTGCTCGTCACTCCAACACCGCAGTTGCTTCAAAGCTCTTGCTTGGTAGGCTGGCCTAGTCCCGCACTGCTGACCTCAAAACATGCAAGCCACAGGGGGTGTTCACGTATCACCTGACAAGCAGTGCTTTTGTCACTGTGGCTCAGGCTTGCTTCCGCAAAAGCAAAAGGAGAATCCACTAGATGTAGCCTGGACAGCTGGCAGTCTGAAAGCCGACAAGCTTTCAAGGACATGATTTGTTTGCCACGGCTGCTCGGCCTGGTCATCTGGCTGCCTCACTTCTAGATGCTCCAAAGGCTCCAAGGTTCCTGAAACGGGGAAACACGGGCGCGACTGAGCTTCTGCGCTTTCTCTCAACCGCACCGGCCGTACCTAGATCTCTGCCCTCCAGGAATTGGAAGCTGTGGTCCTTGGCTCCGCTCCCCGCTCCCCGCTCCCCGCTCCCCGCTCCCCGCTTTGGCCCAACAGCCCCGGGCCCTCACCTCCAAAGGGCCCATCTCCGCGCGGACGTCCGAGAAAAGCTTTCTGAGAGCCACGTAGTCCGGCCGCTCCTGCAAGGAACGAAGGAACGTCTCGCGCGTCCGGAGTCACAGCCGCTCACGCTTCGCCTTGAAGCCAAGAGAGCGGGCAGTCTGCAAATAGACTTTGAAGGCCGCTGGATGCCCTGCATGTAACATGCATGTAACATGCATGTACATCCGTGCTCAAGCCCAAGCCCTGGCCTGCACAGAGCTCATCTAAAGGCGTCGACTCTTTCTTTTCGCGGATCTTCCTGTGAAACTATTCTGAAACCTTCTGAACCTATTATGAACCTATTGGCATCTAGCATCTATCAACGTCCTGTATTTCTCCTCCTGGGTCTTGGCATCGAGGCCCGACCATGGAAGGGATCCTAGGGCCCACCGTGTACTCCAGTGACTGGCCTTGTCTTGGGCCTCGAAGGAAGTACATCAGCATATGGCCGATGGCCTGAAACGGTTGACACTCCAACTTCTTAACTTCGCACATGTTAGCACTGTCGTGTCTTCGTCGTCCTCTAGATCGTCTCGTCTGCTCTGCTCCACGCCCTTGTGCGCGTTGATGGAAGCATACCTAGTGACATCAGCTGCACCAAACATGAGCTGCCAAGTGCATTCCATCCCCTGGCCTAGCAGTGCCGGTCAAGCTGAGCTGCGTCTGAAGCTGGACATGCTTCTGGTCAAAATACCTGTGTCAATCAGACTTTCAAATGACATCGCAGACTGGCAAGGGGCACTTCTTGCTGAGGCCGAAATCAATCAGGTACAAATGATGAACCTGAATCATTTTTTCCGTGCCACTCAGGTACAAGTGATCAGATGGGGCTCGCACCCTGCTCTTGATGCCAAACATGAAATTCTCGGGCTTGATGTCTCTGTGCACAATGCCCTGCGCAAACATATCGCAAGCTCAAACAGTCTGCACATCAAGCTTCCTAAGCATCTGCCTTGGAGTGGAGATACTCAATACGCCTCAGCACCTGCTCAGCAATCAGCACGGCTGTCCTTGGCATGTCTTTCGCAAAAGCCTGCCCACAACTCTCACAAAAGCAGAGAATGCAGAGAAAACAGAGAAGACATGCGTACTGAATGTGTGGCTCTGGGCGCCTGGCTGTGCATTGAATTTTGGCGGGCTGCCGCCCTGTCCACCCAGCCCCTGCAGACGGTCCTGCCAACGTCACTCGGCGCCGCTGTGTGAACGCCTGCTCGGCCTCCAGGGACTTTCCAAGCATCTCCATTACCAGGCACATAAAGCGCTGCTGGCGTGGATTGTCTTTCTCCTGCGATGTCTGCGCTGTTGGTGAAGTGTCTTATTCCACTCGATTGGCATATCGCGGCATATCTGATTCGGACGCAAAACGCAACGTGCAAATGCAGCACCTCCAGGCCACACCAGAACAGCTCCGCAAAGCCCTGAGGCTTCTTTGGCGTAGCCAACATCCTGAGGTCGTCCAAACATCTCCAATTTTTGAGGTGTACACTGTAAACATGAAGCCGTCGTCCAAGCTGGGCACTGCAGGATAGTCTGCTCATGCTCCAGCTGCAGCGCATGACCCGCTGAGTCCTGAACGAACTTGTAGCCGGTTAGTATCAAGTTTGAAAGCTGCCTGAAAGTATTGGCTTCAATCCCAATCTCAAGCGCCCATCTCCGCGCCTCAAACTTCACCGCAACTTTCTCGTTGGTTTGCTTGTCCCTTCCCTGCCAGACCTGGAAACGCAATTGGGGTCAGAAAAACGTCGAGTCGCAAAGCTCCCCACCTCACCAAAGCAGCCTGCGTCACGAGTCAACGAGACACCGGTGCCGGAATATGCCGGAATCAAACAGAGTTCTTTGACGCGCCTGCTCCGAGTTTTTTTTCAATTTGATATCGGCCGTTTGCCACCGTGGAAGGAGGTTTCGAACCTGCGAAGGTAGACTTGACCAAAGATCGAATTGCCCATCGGCAATGCTTGCCGCATTGCCAAATCGATGTGAAGGCAGTATATCGAAAGTATGCTGAGCGCTGGGTATGCACCAGGACTTCAGCATCCTATGTCCAGAACGCGCCCCGAATTCAAACGAAACCTGCACAGCACTCCGAATTCTATCACCCGACCCAAGGCAAGGACTCCATCTAGACTTCGCACAAACTCTGCTCTCGAGGAAGCCAAAAGTGAATCCTAAGACTAAACAAACAAGAATCCGAATCTAGGGAAGATTAAACGCAAAATTAAAGCCGCTGCCATGCTGTATGAGCCACCTCACGTTGTCTCAAATGGAAATGCCAGTCACCCGCGCAGCGTGACACCTGAACCATCCTCACAAAGACCGCAGTGCGCCGCACCTCACCGAGTCCGCTTTCAAGTTTTGGGGCCGCGCGCCTTCTTGCACACCTAGCTGACGCTGTCAGAGTCTTGGAGGTCGCATTTGTTCAGCTCTTTGGTTGTTGAGAGTCAGCACGGTATTTGTGGCATTTAGATATTGCGTAGCAGCCTTGTGTGTTGGCTGCGTGGAGTGTGCCTCGGTCACGGCCGGTGCAGACCGATCAAATGGAACCCAGGAGCCTCTATGTCTGCTTCAGCACAGAGCGAGCGCGTGGGCGTCTAATTGCCAAGGCACGTGGGCAAACAATTTCCATGCGCATTTCACGAGCCAGGATTCAGGAATACACAAAAATGAAACTCGTTTCAAGAAGCTTTTTTTTTGGACCTGGTGGCGGCTTAGGGTTTACTTCAAAGACTTTTTAGTGTTTCCCTCACTAAGTTATGAATCATGGTGACTTGGTGCAGCGTGAACACTAATAGTTCCCAGTTTGGTCTGCCTGGCAGCAAATTGGAATTCAATCATTGACCTGTGATTGCAGACCCTCCGGCCGAGTCTGAATGAGTGAGGACTCGCAGCGTGCAATCACGAAGCTCAAGGAAGGTTCACCTCGACCAAATGGGGAGCCAAGGGAGGGCCAGTGCTGGTGGCCATGCGGTGGCCATGCGGTGGCCACACGGCGACACGGTGGCACCAGCCCCGTTCTGAGTCAGTTGGTGGCAAGGGGCAAAGGGGCAAAGGGGCAAAGGGGCAAAGGGGAGGGGCTGGTAGTGGGCGAGAAGCTGGAGAAATCGGAGAAAGGACCGAAGCACCAACCCCATTCTCGGCATCGAATGGGTGAGGGAGCTGGTCAACAGGATCAGGGTCAAGGCCCGCAGAGCTAGTCGGAGGGCGGAGTCCTTGGAGATCAGGAGTCCTTGGAAGGGCGATCTGGCCGTCCTGAAGCTCATGGATATGCAGATTCAGCTCGTGGCTTGGGGAGTCGGAAGTGGGGAAGGCAGTGATTGAGCTGCGCATGCAACAGCCGGGAGCAGGCAAATCTGCTGCCGTGACTGGCAGACGATGATTGAGGTAGAGAAGGGCGGAGATCGGGGTGTATCCCTTGGTGAACCGGGCCCGAGGCCGTATCTGAACTTCATCAACCTGGCGAAGTCGCTGGTGCGATCGGGGTGTCCTGCGAGCACTTGCTGTTGGAGTTGGAGCAGCTGGTGCACACCGAGAAGAAGAACGCTGCTGGTGCGGCGAGAGCCAAGAACAACGAGGGTAAGCAAGAGGGAGGAAAAAACCCTGCCGCTACTACCTGACGGATCAGGGCTGAAGGGGCGCACAGTTCACCTTCGCCAAGGTGGAGACGGGAGTGCAGTCTACAGGCGAGAAGGGTGAAGCGGAGGGCTCATCCACTCAAGGGACAAGGGGCCCACAAAGGAGAGGCCGACGCGCAGAACGTTCCCCCACGGTGACCCCGCAGATGGCGAAGGACGCTCGCTTGGACGAGCTGCAGAAGCAGCCGGATGAAATGGATTTTGAGGAAAATGTTGATCTCCAAGATCGACTTCCAGGAGATGGTTGGACTCAGGGACGACCCACTGGCGGGTGTCCAGAAGAAGGAGCTCAAGACGACAAAGGGGCACTCACAACCCGGGTGCAGCCCATAGTGCCGTTGGGCCTCTTGGTGGACAAGTTGGGCTGCGACATGGACTTTGTGAGGGACATGCCAGCACCCGACCGAGACCGAGAAATACATGAATGTGCCATGTGGATCGGGGGGAGGAGATCTCCGGTGAAGTGAGGATTCGAGCGAGTAAGGAGCTGATCGAGGCTCTTGAGAGAAGGAGTGCCGCGCGATGTGGTGGTCGAGGTGACAAAGGAGCCGGCCAGCGACCTCAAAGGCATCCCTTTGAACCAAAGACGGCTATACACTCCAACGATTGCTGAAAGAAGTTGGAGGCGATGTGACCCGCAGCATGCCGGATGTGGCGGGAGGCCCGAATTGCAAAAAAGAAGCGGCAGGTGAAGGAAGACGATGTGCCCCTCTACCGAATGGTGATGATCTACGGTGTGGCGGAGGCTCAGAGGGCGGGAAAGATGCCCACATCGACCAGAATGGTGGCGTTTCTGCTGGACCAGCCAGCACCGGACAACATGGGACGGATGCCAAAATGCAGCTCTTGGTGGAGGACGGACCGGCATCTCCGAGAACATGGAATCACATGGAATCACATGGAATGCTTGCAGCATTGCAGTTTGCGAGGCGATCTTGGAGGGGCCGTGAAGCCGACACGGGTCACGGACTCGAAGTTGGATTTGCCGCTGAGGTCGTCTTCGGCAACGATGCAGACTTCGGTGATGGCAAACTCGGTGGCTCTGTCGAGGTCGCCCGGGGTAAGAAGCATTTGGCCGGCGAGCGTGAAACAACTTTGCTTTGAACATCTGCGGCATGGGCACGTGGCGGATTTGTCAGGAAGCATCGGCGGGGAGAAGAGACACTACGTGGCGGTCCTGAACGCGGACGAAATGCTTCCTGATCGGGTCGTTTACCTGGAGGAGGATCAGAAGAATATTCTTCCACAGGACTTGCCAGTGGAGAAGAAAGGTGAAAAAGAAGAGCCATACGAGACAGGCGAGCTGGGCGAGCCTGAATGTGAGAAAGGTGAGCCCGGAGCTCCAGGGGAAGATCCAGGACAGGCGAAGAAAAAGAGTGTGGGAGGCCGAAGCCGGCCGAAGCTGTTGAAGCTGATTGTCAAGGCCATCCCGCTCCCGGACAAGGCCAAGATACATTCAGTAGAGAGAAGGATACCCGGTCGACGTTCCTGAACCATGACCTCAAGAAATGGTGCTTGGCGAGGAGGATTGAGAAGACCACGATTCGGATCCTCCTTTCAAAGGTGGGCGAGAGGCTTGCGTCGGCAGCTTGAAGAGCATCAGAAGGTTGCAGGGGCCGAACATGGACGTGAAGTTCTGGCCCATGGCAGCCAGGTCCGCGCTCGTCGCTGAAGAGACAGAACGAGCTGACGCCGGCCGCGTTTGGGGAGGTCTGGGTATCATGGAAAGGCACGCTGCTCCGTCGTCAAGGAGGCCGCAAGCGGACACGTGGATTCTTCTGGAGTCCTCTACTACAGGAGGCAGAACCTCCGGAAAATCAAATGCCGGAGACGAAACCGAGCTCGGAAATTTATGGATGCTGCGGATGATTGAGGAGGCGAAAGCGGCAATGGACGGTCGAGCGCAGTAAAGAGGCACTCTCGAACACCCTGAAGATACTGATGACCGTCAGCAGATTCCACCACCCGGTACAAGTTGGAGGCGCGCCAGACGCGCGATAGAAGAGATGGTGCTAAGCTAGCGCTTCAACCGGAGCTACGCCCTTGGCGTCAGGTCGAGCTAGGGCGACTTCTACCGAAGTCCCAAAGGGAGCGCCCAAACATTTCCGCAGGAACGCTCTTGAATGTGCAAATACAAAGCCTTAGGTCCTCGTCCCGCAGCCAGAGTCAAGTGTGCAAGGGGTAAGCGCGGCGGAAAAAAAAAGTCTGTGAGCGGTCTGTTCTCCTAAGAGAAGGATAAGGCTGCGGCCGGTCATGGCGCCTTACTGCCTCAGAACTTCTCAGAACCCAGCTTTCAGAAAACCTCCCGCTTGCAATTTCGAACGTCACGCTGAAATCATGTGCTGGACTCAAGCGTGACTTCCGTGAGCTGCTGGCAGCGCAGCGCTTGGATCGCCACCTCCCCTTTGACCCAAATTGCAGGAAAGATGAGGAAACATATTGCAGAAGGCACGTCTCACATCTCAATGAGTTCCCTCCACGGCGTCTCGTTGCTTGCCTCTCACACAGCTCTTCTGTGCGCAGTCCCACAGGGTGAGACGAATTGCGGGACGCGTTCCGTGGTGGACCTTCAGTCCGAACACCAGGGACCTGCTCTCAACCTATGCTTCAGCCGCCTTGCGGAATGGAAGTGCGTCCAAACCGGTTCTTGCACAATCGAAACGAACAGAAAAAGGTCATCAGCATCACGCCGGTGCCTGTTCCTCCTCCATTTTTTTCCGGAGGTACCTGATCTCCGGAAACATGGAATCGTTTGTTTGGAGAGCTCGGGCAGGCCAGCGGGCACATGGCAATGAAGGCTATCTCATCTTGAGGCGTTGCCAGCGCCTGAACTGATAGCGTGAACGAAAGTCGGGCAAACGAACTGATAGCGCTATCAGCGGGCTTGGCAAGCGCTTTGCTCTCCTTGTTGCCCTTGGACTTGAAGCGCTGGCACTCAAACAGTGCCTGCGAATCCCCGTGGCTGATTCTCTGCATGTCATACTGTTTCATAGGCTGTCATGCTGTGTCACCGAATAGAAAGAAACATGTTGCCGTAGCAGTGTTCGTCAAGGCCCGGCAAAAGGTCCGAAAACATCCGAAAGCATCCGAAAGCATCCGAAAGCATCCGAAAGCCAAAACCAAGGCCTCGCCCAAAGCAGCATGAAGCCTGCGCCCAATGTAGGACCGGATGCCCATGTGGGTCGACCTGGATTTGAAAAGCAAGGGCCTCAAGTGGTTACGGTCCTGAAATAACAGAAGAGGAAAAGAAATGACAGCAAAGATCAAACGAGAACAAAGTAGACATAGCCGCCTCAAGTTCAAGAAACACAGCAACCACACTGGCGCACACGGGCCTCAAGTCCTCGCCCGGCAAAGCACCTTCAATGCTGCTTTCCTGTGCGTGATGCTAGCTTCATCAAGAATGACTCGTGACCTCCTTTCAAGGATGCACGTCCAATCAGAAAGTGTTCACCGCATGTCGCGTTCTGCTCACTCAGCACCCTTTCTTGACGCATCACTTCGCAGTCTCTCTTGCCTGAGGCAAGACTCTTCACAGGCGCACATGCCACTTGCACGGGCCTTGGTGGCCTTGGCTTCCCTCTTCAGCCTCTGGATCTTCTCCTCACGTGGCACATGTCGAGCACATGTCGAGCACATGTCACAATGTGTCGCCACGTTGCGCACATTCCGCAGGGTCCTGCGCCGTCTCTCGCTCGAGGTGCTCGAGGTGCTCCGACTCCGATCGCGCCGATGGCGCGCGCAGCTCCGATCGCTCGGGCTGGCACGAAGGCGGCGCTGGCGCTGGCGCTGGCCGGCACCACCGGCCGCGCGGCACGGGGTCGGCTCTGTGTGCGGCGTGTGCTTCGCTTTCGGCTTCACGGGCATCCAAAGACTCCAGCGAGCTGCAAGACACGGGGCAAGTCATGGATTCCTTGGCAACAGTCTGACAGCCCACATCAATTTGCAGCAGAGCTAGCCTGGGAGCTGAGCTCATGCAAATTGCGCATGAATGTTGTAACCCTAACGGGGACAGTTTGGAGAAATGCATGGATGCGAGATGACATGCATTCATTGCAAATCACTTGGCATTTCACCTCGATCTACGAATCAATTGTCTTATTGTTGTGCTTCTTCCCTCAGTTCCTGTCACTCCACGCCAAGGACAGGGGGGTGCCTTGTTTGGGAGACAAAGGACTGAGTCGCGAAAATGGCAGTGTTAGCACGCTCAGCAGCATAGGCCCAAATCGCAATCAATACATCAGCGTGTTCTCTCGAGCTTCCAGCACCTAGCACCGTCAGCACCTTTAGCATCTTCAGCACCCCAGCCGGCACCCAAACCAGCAACTCCCTAGCACCCTGACCGGCCCTCCGGAATGCCCGCCTTCCCCAAACACAAGTGTCTCAAACAGCACCCTCCCAAAGCAGCACGCAGTTCTCAAACATGAATACAGTCGGCCATACGATTGGCAACAACTTGCCGAACTCATTTCATCTTGTGGGACTGTGTTTCCAGATCAAATGTCGGCATGTTCCGCATCCACGCGACACACGTCATCCAGGCCTCTGGCTCGACAGAAATCGCCTCCTCCAAGGCAGACAGAAACGCAGCGTGGACTCCGCGCTTTCGCGAAGTCTCGTAGGTGCACCAGAAGACCTCTGACGCGACTGGGCCGAGGTCCAGCTGAAGGAAGGATTCCAAGAGCTCCTCGGGCAACTCCATGGACTCCATCTCGCGCTCGGCCTCGGCCTCGGCCCGCTCCAGACACTCCTCCACGTGCGAGGGCAAGGCATGCTCTGCAAAAGCTGCGCCGCAGACCGGGCAGGAGCAAGCCCTTCCGGGCTTGCGCCTTCGGACAGACACTTTGGACACTTTTCCATCGAGCAATGAAGCTAAAGTGTACCCAGAGCTGGAAGGGGCCAGGTATTCCGCTGCTTCCGGCTCCAGAAATTCATCAGCCTGGGCCATCTGGGCCATCTGGGCCATCTCCGTTTGCGGCCAGCGCGCTTCCTCGCGGGCTGTGCTCATCGAGTCGAAGCGCCAGGATGGAGCTTCAAGAGCTTCGCACGTTTCGCGCTTGTGCTGACGCCGGTGCAGCCTAAGTCGGCATGCAGGAAATGGATAGCCAAATGGATAGCCAAATGGATAGCCACATGTCCCTTGGATGTCCCAACTGTTTGCGTTGGGTTGTGTAACTGTCACAGCATTGACTGACACCTGGAGAATTGCACCGTGCGCAAGCTCAACGAATTGGCCACATCGGCATCGAGCGGAATCCGAGCGGCTCCAGGGTGCGACGCAGGGTGAAAGTAGCGCCGCACTCGCAGGTCAGCGGCTCAGACTCAGGCCGTGTAGGCCCCGCGCATAAGGATGCCTGCGAACAAGAGAAAAAGACACAGTTTGAGTTCTCAGAAAGGAAAATGTAAGAAGAAACACGTGTGAAAGATGTAAATTGAGTCAAGACAAAGTCCAAATTGAGTCCTCAGACTGGCCTTGGGCTCGTGCCTCTGAACTGTGTCCTGTCGACGGAAGGACTCGGCCGCGCCGCCCACGGCCGCCAAGAGGCCCAGCGCCCCCAGCGCCGCATCCAGCGCCTTGGCCTGAGCGGCCGGAGCCGCAACCTGCGGGCTTGCAGCGCTCGCAGTCGCAGGGCTCGCAGGGCTCGCGCTCGCAGGGCTCTCCCAGACGTCTTCCGCGTTTGGAGGGCTGCAGTGGCCGTTGCAGTAGATCCAATAGCCGTGCCAAGCACGACACGGAGCATCCTCCGGTGGCTCTTCACGGAGGCTTCCTCAGAAAAGTCTGCCAAAGGCTCCCAAAACTTCCCAGAGTTCAGATCTAGCCCCTGTCGCTCTGTCGCTCAGTCGCTCAGTCCTGCGTTCCGGCGCTCCTTGCGCTCCTTGCGCTCTGTGCGACTTGCCTCTCGCAGGAACTCATCGTAACCGCAGCTCCGCTCCACGACCGGCGCTTTAGCACCTCGAACGCACGCCAGCTGCTGCAGAGCCTGGGCCACGCGCTGCGTCTGCTCGCCCTGAACCTCCACATCGCTGGCCTTGGGGCCTTCGTGGACGGTGCCACCGACTCCGAGGAGACTCGTCAGAGCCGTGCACAGTGCACGGGCGTTGCCCTTCACTCCGCTGATCACCGTCACGCGTTTGCCTTTGGCACGCCTTTCGATGAGCAGCGGCAGCTCACCAACTTTGTCCACGTACACAGCGAATCCACAGGCCGGAAGCCCTTTCGAGCTCATGGCTTTCCATCTGCGCTATGAATTGAAATGCTGGTCCGGAAGCTTGCCAATGATATTTTCGTTGCACACATCCGAGGCAATCAAGCGCCAGTTGGACAGAAACAGCCTGCACACTGAATCCTTCTTGACTCGTCTACTGAGCTGGTCTCGTGCCAACATGTGCCATGCGAGTGGAAAAAATGTGAGAAATAGGCACCTGCCCCGCAACCTGCGTGAGTCGCACCTGGCCCTCAAGGAGGCTCTCGATCTCCCGCATCTGCGCCTCAAAGAAACTGCCAAACTGCAAGTGTTTCGCGGCCGATTCCCCGCCTGAAGAACATCCGTCCCTGTGCGGGCTCCCCGCTCCTTGCAAGGCCATGAGGCCAACATCCACTGAACTTGGGTCGCCTAGAATCATCCAACCCCCCGGCCCCCCGCTTGCTTGTTGCCAGTGTTTGTTCTTGCTGAATTTTGCACGTCTTTACCTGTCGTTCCTTCTCTGTCCTTCGAATGTCTTTGCATCTTTGCTGGTCATTGCTTATCTTCTGGCACTTGATCTTGAGCGTAGCTCCGTCTACTAGCTTGGCTTGCAATGTATTTACACACCGTTGCAGGGCTTTTCTTGCCTCTGCTAGCATTTGCTCGCCTTTGCTCGTCGGTTAGTCTCTTCTGCTTGTCTTGGCATGTATCACACGTCTTTGCAGGATTTTCGGTTAGTCTCTTCTGCTTGTCTTGGCATGTACTACACTTCTTTGTTGGGCTTTGCTTGTCTCTGCTAGCATTTGCTCGCCTTTGCTCGTGGCATGTGTTACACGTCTTAGCAGTGCTTTGCTTGCCTCTGCTAGCATTTGCTCGCCTTTGCTGGTCGGTCAGTCTCTTTGCTTGTCTTGGCATGCGTTACACGTCTTGGCAGCGCTTTGCTTGCCTCTGCTACAATTTGCTCGCCTTTGCTCGTCGGCTAGTCTCTTTTTCTTGTCTTGGCATGTATTTGCATCCAACTGTTCTTTGCTTGTCTTCGCTTGTTGCTCTTTCTTTTTGTTTATCTAGGCAATTCTTTACGCGTCTCTGCTAGTCTTCTGGTAGCATATGCTCATTTACTTAACTTCGCTTTCATTGAAGGCGCTCACTTCTCTGGGCATGTCTTTACACGTCTGTGATTGCCTTTGCTTGTCTATGCTAGCATTTGCTCATCGATTCTAGTCTTTGTTTGCCTTTGCTCTCGAAGAACAACTCTATTTAGGCGGGACCTTGTTTCAGAGCCTGACCTCCGGACCACCCCAAGCACGCGCTCGCTGCGAACCCGCACGCACAAGAGGCTGCAAGGTTGCTTGCCCAACCCCCCTGACACTGAGCACACACTCACCCACCCTAGCTTGAGCGCACGTGCGCCTGCTTGCGTCCGGCGCTTGCGTCCGGCGCGCGCGCGCGCCGCACAATGCATCCCCGGCAGCCCGTCCCAGCCCCACAGAAACCGGTGGAAAAATGCAGAAAAAGCTCGGTGCGCGGGATGTTTTCCGCACAGCGGCGGCCGCACTTGCGCAAGAAAAACCGCCCACTCGGTCGCAGACTTGTCCGCCATGTCCGCCTACCGCCAGAACCTGCTCTCAGGGGGACTTTTGAAGGATTTGAGCGATAGGGGGCAGGGGATGTAAGGGATGCTGGAGCGCCCGGGCCTGCGCGCTTCCACTGATCCGGGAGGGACCCAACAACCATCCTGCTGCGCAACGGGCGGAAGAAGCTCGTGCGCTCCCAATTTGAAGACTGGGGGGACCGCCCCAACGGTGAAGATTCAGACACAGTGCCGGTGGCAGGATGCAGAGGATGTTGTCGGGAATGCTGGCGACTGTCCGGGGCGATTTGCATGGTATTTACGGTGTTTGTTGAAGGTCGGGCAACGTGGCATCAGAAGCCCGTCGCAAGGGCAGGGAGGTCGGGGATGTTTTGGGGTCCAGGTGTTTGGGCCGGCCTGCGTGCAGGTGATGCAGGCAACGCTGAGGAGGAGCACCTGGGGCAACAAAACACGTCAGCGGTATACCCTACGGGTAGGGTTGCCCTCGCTCTTCGAGCGCAGCTGGATTAGCATGTCTTTGCTTGTTGTTGCTTCGGCCTTGGGCTGTCTTTGAGGGTATTTGCTTGTCTCTGCTAGCATTTGCGCATCCTCATTGTTGCTTGTTGCTGCTTCTCTGTGCTGTCTTGTCACGACCTTACACGTCTTTGGTTACCTTTACCTGACTTGGTCGTCTCTGCTCGCAGTTGCTTGCACTTGCTGGGCGTTCTTGCTTTGGTGGTTCTGTATCTATCTTCGCTGGTCTTTGCATGTTGTTTCAAAGCAAGCTCCGCCTGGATTCATACGCAGTCTGGCTTGAGCCAAATGATCAGTAGAGAATGTGAGCCTGATGATGCGTGAAAGCTCTTGCCCTGCGTGCGCTAGCTCGTCTTTGTCTGTTGACCATGCAGCGCGTTCTTGGTGCTTCTTGTGTGAGTAAGCTTGTTGGTCAGCTTTGTTCGACGACTTCAATTCCTTGGACATGTGATGCAGTCGCTTGCGTCCTGCTGCTCCGCCAATCTCCTCTGCTGCAAGACCTCACGCTGCAATTCTGAAAGTGCCCAAGTCAATTCTGCACACCGCTCACTGCTCTTGCGCATTGCACTGAGCACATGTCTTGATGTTCCTCTGCAGCCCTGTGGATGTCCTTGGAAGCAACGCCTTGCCTTTAAAATCTCTAGCATATGTGTTTGCACGCGTGTTTGTAAGTAAGTGCATAACTTCGCTAGAGCAGTGAATGCGCCGGATGCTTCGTCCAAAGCAAAATTCCAAAATAGCACAAAAAAGCCTGCGCATGCCGCTTTCAAGAGCAAAAAGCTGCCACTGTAAGTCAAATCCAACAGGTTTGGAGCTTGAGCTCCACGAGCGCAAAAAAATGTACACTTTCAAGTCTCAATGGAAGCTAGATGACCACCATGTGTTGACATCCTTTCTACGTTGCCCGCTGTGAACCGGAGGAACAAGCACTCGGAAAGGTTACACAGCGCACACGCAAATGGCAACTCAAAAACATGTTGTAATCCCCAGAATTCCGCTGGTGAGAGGCTCTCATGCGCTCGTGCCATGTTTTGCCCGTTGGAAAGTTCTGCCCGCCCCAGCACCAGTTTCAAGCTCTTCTGATTTTGCGCCCCGAAGATCTCCGTCTCTCAGACCGGGCCCCATGCCAGGCGCACGTCGCTCGGCACGGCCTGTTTGGGGGAATTTCTCTCTCTGAATACACACGTCTACCATTTGTGTTTGGCGCGGGTTTGAGATGGAAGGAGCGTGGGCCGGGCTTGCTTCGAGTGGCTAGGTGTTGTTTTTAGAGTGGCTCCTATGGGCTGGGAATGTGTTTTGGGTTGTTGCAGGATGGGTGCCTTCGTCTTTGTCAAGCGGTTCAGGGGTGGTTTTGCATTGATTTTGGGACAGGTGGGGATTGGCCGGCTTAGGGTTGAGGATGAGTTTAAGGTTAGTTGGTTGAGACAGCGTGGGGTGGTTTTAGGGTGGGAATCAAGTCTGCTTGAGGGTTGTTGATGGCTGGATTTAAGTGGTTGGCATTTAGGGTGCTCTCGGGTGGGCTTCACGCGATTCCAGCAATGGGTTGCCAGGGTCTAAGAAAAATATTGGGTCAGTTTGGGGTGGATGCAGCGTGTAGCGCACGCGTGTCGTGTGGTAAGGTGAAGGTGTGCGTGTGCGTGTGCGTGTGCGTGTGCGTGTGCGTGTGCGTGTGCGTGTGCGTGTGCGTGTGCGTGTGCGTGTGCGTGTGCGTGTGCGTGTGCGTGTGCGTGTGCGTGTGCGTGTGCGTGTGCGTGTGCGTGTGCGTGTGCGTGTGCGTGTGCGTGTGCGTGTGCGTGTGCGTGTGCGTGTGCGTGTGCATGTGTGTGTGTGTGTCGTGTGTGTGAGCGTGTGTGTGTGTGTGTCTGTGTGTGTGTGTGTCTGTGTGTGTGTGTGTCTGTGTGTGTGTGTCTCTGTGTGCGCGTGTGCGCGTGTGTGCGTGTGTGCGTGTGTGCGTGTGGGTGTGTGCGTGTGGGTGTGTGCGTGCGTGCGTGCGTGCGTGCGTGCGTGCGTGCGTGCGTGCGTGCGTGCGTGCGTGCGTGCGTGCGTGCGTGCGTGCGTGCGTGCGTGCGTGCGTGCGTGCGTGCGTGCGTGCGTGGGTGGGTGGGTGGGTGGGTGGGTGGGTGGGTGGGTGTTTGTGTGTGTGTGTGTGTGTGTGGGTGTGTGTGTGTGTGAGTGTGTGTGTGTGTGAGTGTGTCTGTGTGAGTGTGTGTGTGTGTGAGAGTGTGAGAGTTGTGAGAGTGGTGAGAGTGGTGAGAGTCGTGAGAGTGTGAGAGTGTGAGAGTGTGAGAGTGTGCGGGTGTGAGAGTGGGAGAGTGGGAGAGTGTGAGTGTGTGAGTGTGTGTGTGTGAGTGTGTGAGTGTGTGAGTGTGTGAGTGTGAGAGTGTAAGAGTGTGAGAGTGTGAGAGTGTGAGTGTGTGGGTGCGAGTGCGGGTGCGGGTGTGGGCGTGGGCGTGGGCGTGTGGCCGTGTGGCCGTGTGGCCGTGTGGGCGTGTGAATGTGGGCGTGTGGGCGTGTGGGGGTGCGGGGGTGTGGGGGTGTGTGGGGTGTGGGGGTGTGGGGGTGTGGGGGTGGGTGTGGGGGTGTGGGGGTCTGGGGGTGCGGGGGTGCGGGGGTGTAGGGGTGTGGGGGTGTGGGGGTGTGGGGGTGTGGGGGTGTGGGGGTGTGCGGGGGTGTGGGTGTGTGGGGGTGTGTGGGGGTGTGTGGGGGTGTGTGGGGGTGTGTGGGTGTGTGGGGGTGTGTGGCTGTGTGGGGGTGTGGGTGTGTGGGTGTGTGGGTGTGTGGGTGTGTGGGTGCGCGGGTGCGTGGGTGCGTGGGTGCGTGGGTGCCTGGGTGTGTGGGTGTGGGTTCAGCGTGGCTCCCGCCGGATGCGCCCCGTGTGGGTGTGTGGGTGTGTGTGTGTGTGGGTGTGTGGGTGTGTGGGTGTGTGGGTGTGTGGGTGTGTGGGTGTGTGGGTGTGTGGGTGTGTGGGTGTGTGGGTGTGTGGGTGTGTGGGTGTGTGGCTGTGTGGGTGTGGGGGTGTGCGGGGGCGGGTGTGGTTGGGGTGTGGTGGGGGTGTGGGTGTGGGTGTGTGTGGGTGTGGGTGTGGGTGTGGTGTGGATGTGGGTGTGGGTGTGGGTGTGTGTGGGTGTGAGTGTGAGTGTGAGTGTGAGTGTGTCTGTGTGAGTGTGTCTGTGTGAGTGTGTCTGTGTCTGTGTCTGTGTCTGGGGCTGCGGCTGCGGCTGCGGCTGCGGCTGCGGCTGCGGCTGCGGCTGCGGCTGCGTCTGCGTCTGCGTCTGCGTCTGCGTCTGCGTCTGCGTCTGCGTCTGCGTCTGCCTCTGTCTCTGTCTCTGTCTCTGTCTCTGTCTCTGTCTCTGTCTCTGTCTCTGTCTCTGTCTCTGTCTCTGTCTCTGTCTCTGTCTCTGTGTCTGTGTCTGTCTCTGTCTCTGTCTCTGTCTCTGTCTCTGTGTGTGTAAGTGTCCATGGATGGGTGGTTCATGGTGGCCCTAACATGGGCTTGCCCTTCAAACTTGGGTGGCGGTAAGTCAGGGGGTGCTTTGAGGCGGGTGCAGGGCTGGCTTGCGGCTGGCTCAGTGTTCATGTAAGCTGGGCTTAGGGTTCGGTAGGCCGCAATTTTTTGGGAATGCTGTTAGTTCGGAATCAGCTTTGGGCGGGCTCCAAGCAAGCGCTCAACCGCTCGCCTCCTTGCTTACCTGCTTGCCTGCCCTGCCTTGCCTTGCCTTGCCTTGCCTTGCCTTCCCTGCTGCCCTGCCCTGCCCTGCCCTGCCCTGCCCTGCCCTGCCTTGCCTTGCCTTGCCTTGACATGCCTTGCCCTGCCCTGCCCTGCCTTGCCTTGCCTTGCCCTGCCTTGCCTTGCCTTGCCTTGCCTTGACATGCCTTGCCCTGCCCTGCCCTGCCTTGCCCTGCCTGTCTTGCCTTGCCTTGCCCTGCCCTGCCCTGCCCTGCCCTGCCCCTGCCCCTGCCCCTGCTCTGCCTTGCCCTGCCCTGCCCTTGCCTTGCCCTGCCCTGCCCTGCCCTGCCTTGCCTTGCCTTGCCCTGCCTTGCCTTGCCTTGCCCCACCTTACCTTGCCTTGCCTTGCCTTGCCCTGCCTGCCCTGCCCTGCCCTACCTTACCTTGCCTTGCCTCGTCTTGCCTTGCTTGCCTGCAGGGCAGGCAGGCAAGCAGGCAGGCAAGCAGGCAGGCAAGCAGGTGAGAAGACAAGCAAGCGAGCACTTCTTGCCTTCTTGCTTGTCCTCTCACCTGCTTGCCTGCTTTCCTGCTTGCGCTGACTTGCTTCAAGCTGGCCGGTGAAAGAAACCCATCCGAGCCCCAGGCCCCGCGACAGTCCACAGCCAGCAGGTTCCCCTTGCTCCTACAGGGGGCAAGGCAGAAAACATTGACCTGTTTGGAGCCAAGACCAGGTTGCCCATGCAAGCTAGCCAATAAGCGTTCAGGTGCCACACAAAGCATTGCCCACCTCACAGTTGTCACTAGGTCGTCGAGTAGCTTCGTGAGCGCCTAGCCATCTAGATCAATGATAAATGCTTTAACAGCACAAACTGCCAAGGGACTGGCGCTACTGACATCATTGTCCACGGGTGCTGAGGGCACTGACTCATCCTTGCACAGCTACTTACAGTGACAGATGTCTTCACGGCATGCAAGACAAATTCGAGTTCACAGATGTTCACAGTCCCCAGAGTCGTAATTGTTCTCTGCAAAGGCTTTGCGCAGCCTCTCTTCCTGGCGTCTCAAAGTCTCAGGTCCGGCGGCTCGGTCACTGGCCTTGGCAAGCTTGGCCTCCGCTTCCTCCTTGAGACACAGAATTTTCATATTAACAAGTGGAGCCAAGACCTCACAAACTACGCGCGCTCGCTGCATGCTCTTGGCCTCCTCCAGCTCTTCCTCCTCCTTCACCTGGGGCAAATGGAATCAACCGCAGTCGCCAATGCCTGAGCCGCGGGCGACGTAGTCCGAGGTGTCGTAGTCCGCGCTGGACACATTTTGCCGACCCGAGAAGAGGGTCGGCACGTCACAAACCTGAGCTGAGTCTCATGTCACTGGGGCCCAGGGATAGAACACCCTACCTCTATGGTCAGAGTGTGCAAACGGCTACACCGCTGCACCACGCCTAGCAAGCAACAAAAGTTGAGCAGTGCTATCGCAGCTCATGAGGCGCAAGCCCAGCAAGAACTCTAGCCCGGTGTGGCCCACCGGATTTGCTTGCAGCTCCTGCAAGAGTTCCCAGCAAACGAAGCTCTGATTTCACCGGTGTGCCTCCAGTTGATTTGTCTGACGTAGAGCGAGGCAAAGCTGTGCCAAACCTCTCGAATCGTGGCAATGAATTTCGGGTCAGTTGGGAAGGTCAAGCATGTGACAGCATGTGTCTATTTCGTCTTTCCCGCCGTTGTCGCTGATGTTTGACTCCCGGAGATCCAACGCACGGATCTGCTGGTTGGATTTCAGGAACGAGGCCAAAGCCTCGCAGGCAACATGCGTACAGCATCCCTCGGGCTCTCTCTCGCCTCCCCGCCGCGGTTTCGGATGGCGCAGCCACCCAGGTCCCGCACCTCCAATTAATTCGTCCATTGGGGTTCAAGCTGCCACTTCTATGTGTCAATTCGAAGGTCGTACTGGGCACAAGGAGGCGGTGCCCCTGCTGCTCGAGGCTGACGCCGGCCTTGGAGTCAGATCTCCAATCACGCTCAATCCTATCACCGAGTGTATGGGCCTCAGCTAGGGGAAGAGCGCAAGCCATGACCAAGTCCTTGGAGAGCGGATAGACTTGATGACTTGGTCAGCCCCCAGCTTCGATATCTGAGCACAAGGCAGGCGGCACGCGCCCTAGGGTCGGCCATTGAGGAGCCAATTGCAGCAGCTCGTCTTCGTCATGCAACCACTCCCAAGGCTGTGCAAATGTCCAGGCCCATTGCACAACAAGGTGGTCCAATGCGAAGCCGTGCGCTATATGTCAAGAGACGGCAAGGTGACGTCCCGTGGGACGCTGTCCACCGAACCCTCCAGCTGTGTGTACCCAACCACGTAGAAAGGTGTATACGGTCAAACCGTTATAGCCGAACCCGTGTAAACTGTTGTAAGGGATAAGGACCAATAACCATGATGGTGATCCTGGCAGCTGCGGCGTGAATGAAGTATTTTCCACTCTCTATGGTCGATCACGTGCGAACGTAGCTCATGCAAGACCTTGAGCCCTACTTGTGACTTGAGCCAAAATGGCAGTCAATGGAACATTGTAACCAACAATAACACAGACCTCAGAACAGCTTCCCAATTTAGGCACGGGGCCAGGAGGGTTTTAACATCCCCCATTTGGGTCGCATCGTTCATCATACGGTCCAAACATCACAACACGTTCCAATGGCCACGGCTCCGACTACGAAACTGTGTCGAACACTCTTTCATTCACTATTGCTACACCGTCCATTCATTGTGAAACTTGCCGGGTTCAATTGAGACTGAAACATGCATCCGCAAATCGTAGCACATTCCTATACTCAGATGCAAGAGACATTTTGCCTCGTGCCAATACGCAACCACTTGAAATCCCGGCTGCCGCATTTGCGCATCGCGCAGCCGTCATCCACAGAAATGGGTTGGCCATAGAAATCCGTAGTAGCGCACGGCCATGAGCCATCTGAATATCATCGGCAAAGAAGATTTGGCGAGCAATACATGCAAAATAGCCATTCCAGATACCACGAATAATATATAAGGAAAAGAAATCATCCATGAGGTAATAGTGCACATCCATGAATATCCGGGATGTCATAGCCGTCGGAATATGTAAATGTATACACATCCATTCCCCTTGGACGCATGAAATTATATCATGTCAAAGAAATGTTCCATCGTAACGAAATCGATGAGACGCAAGCGATGGATGGGGACTAGCCCACATCATGCCGCAATCTATATCGAGGTGAATTCTATATGCTGCTGCTGATGGATGCACCATACCGCATAAGCAATGATAATCCACATCTGCATCATGGATATCGGTCCCCAATGGACAACCTGTTGATGCGTCGACGGAACTCTTCGTCCAAGTTCTGTTGAGCTTCTCGTGCTCGGATGCACTTCCTGTGATGCTCTTCTGAAAGCCAGTATCCCTTTCGGAGACACCAATCCAGCAGGGGTGCGTCGCATTTGTTCGGGTCAACGGCCGCAATGATGGCACTCACGTTAACCGAATAACTGTGTTTGCCAATGTTCAAGCCTGTCCTTGTGAATGATATATATTTGCAGTTGAAAGCCAGGGAGAAGCATCTGTAAACAATATCACCCGCCGGATGGATGCGATCCTTGACCAGGAGCTTCATCTCGTCTTTGGTGATGTCAAGGATCCTCGCTGCAATCCACAGCTTGTAGAAAATGTATAGCCCCTCGCATTTGGACACCAAATATCGGATGTAGTGGTTGCGCTCCTCGATCGTCCGGAAGGTCCTTGCCCGAACATTCTGAGATTGGGTAACTTTATGTTCCGTTGATGGCAAAAGGATCCCTTCCTGATCAATATCAGTCATGTTGGGGTACTTCCCGAAGTCGTTGTGGTATGGACAAGAGAATGTTCCTTCGATCGCGGCCTCGATCGTTCTCTTTTCCCCACCTTCGAACATCCCCCACATCTTTGACATCTGCAGTGCGATGAATCCCGCCATATATTGAGCCTCGCGTGGCTCATCCAGGCAGATCGCCATCCGCTGGGAATTAATGATATCCCGTGATGCCAGGTCATTGTCGCGGTATACCCAACCGCCGTCTTCTTCTTCGGACATGTAACCAGATGTGTATCCTTGCGTGTCCATGTCGTCGTCTTCGGAATCATTTTCCGTCTCATCACCCTCTTCCTGCTCCGCCGCGTTGTCGTTAGCCTCATCTTGTGCTCGTCTGGCGTCACACCTGACACATTGGGTTTATGGTCGTCCCCCTCGTCATCGGAACCAATGTGGATGCAGAATCTCCCGGTAGAGATTAATTGCGCCCCACATTCCAGACATACACAGAAGCACGTGGAAATCGCCGTTGCACATGACGGACAAATTCGGCATCGTAGCCCCTCCCATGTCTCGTCGTTCAGGATGATGGTCTTGCTGATCTCGTCCCTGATCTCGTTGGTCAGAGTATCAAACTCTTCTAGTTTGTTTTCCCGAAACAGTTCGCAGGCACGATCCACCATGCCTTGAACGTAGTGCAGATTGTCGGCACCCGCCTCTGTTTCAGGCATTCCCTCGATGATCTTTGCGACGTTCTGAAGGAACATCGTGGCCGACTCCTGGGAAGAACCAACGAATCCCGGACAGATCTCATTCTCAACACATTTTGAGTACGCCCGCTTGATGCTCTCGTACTTCAGGCATTTCCCTCCGTTGCTCTTGCCAATCCAAATGGATTTGACCTCATAGAACGGGATCACGTCAAAGACCATAAATGTCCCGTTAAACGTGACTCCAGCTCCGTATCGCGCAAGGGTCGCACTGGGAATGTAGATGATTGCAAGCGGACCTCCAGTCCTCAAATTTTGTAGCGTCGTCTTCGTTGCTACGTTCATCTCATCCCATGGAGCAAATGCCCCGAAGTGCAATGCCAGCCTGTTTCTGCCATCGATTCCGCCGGGGACTAGCCCACAGCGTACAATGCTTGGCAGGTTCTCTACGTATGTCACATGGAATGCTCCTCCAAGAGTATCACCCATCCTTGCAGAATACCTATTTGCCAATGCGGATGAGCTCATGAAGCCAACGTCACTGTGACCAGTTGTGACTCGGATGCACCAAGGCCTGTACCATCCATCGCATCTGTTGAATATTCTTTCGATGTCACCCCGATCCAGGCCAATGTAGTTCAACTCCTCTTTGGCGGCCTTCATGTCGTTCGGGTTCATGATGCCTGGAAACCTTGCTGCTAGGACCTGGAACCTTGATTTCTTGTGTCCAGATTCCTGCCACTTGATCACTTCCATGATGCCCATGTATCGTTTTGCTCTCGAAGTCGTCGGTGGAAATATGTCGTTATTCCGGTCGTTGATGACTGCGTCAATGTCAACCCATCCACCTTCATCACATCTGAAAGCACTTCCTCGGCAATTGCCGATCTTGTGTCGAAGGACTCTGCATAGATCATGAGATAGCTGATTTGCTTGATCTCTCGATGCAAACACTGAGCGTTCGTCGCCGATCTTGCAGTGCGGAGCGCCGTCGAAGGGAGCGATGCAGAAATTGATACTCTTACCAAGCTGTATCACATCAACCTGGGATCTACCATAGACGTGTACGCCCATGGCATTTCCACGCTGCTCACGTCGCCAAACTTCGGGATGTAGCATGGAATAGTGTCACATCCCCGCTCTAGCGCTGCCTTGAACGTCCTGTGATCCCCGCACGGATTGTAGGTGAGATCCACGCCACCGCATTGTAGCTCTCCCCCTTCAGCTGTGTCAGCCATCTCCACCAGATTGATGGTATAGCTATACATTTCTATTATTTCTTTCCCCTTCTGTCCCCCTTTCTTGTGTTCCTTGGATGCCGATGATGACGGTTCTTCAGCATCCCCCATTTCTTCATCCGAGGTAACGTGATCGCTGCTGAGAAGCTCGCGGATCTTCTTCATCGCCTTCTCGTTTCCAGCAGCCTCCTCATTATTCTTGCAGTCGCCGTCGTGGGCCAGGTTCGCGCACTTTGTACAAATTCCCATTTCTCCCATGCACTTCTCCATTGAGTCCAGGAACTTGAGTGCAGCTCTTCGCCCATCAATCACGCGCTGCTTCTTCTCCTCTTTCTCCTCATTGGGCTGAGAGCTTCGGCTCTATCGCCTTCACTCTCAGTTGCCTTCCTCTTGGATCCTTGGTTGGCCTGCTTGGTCACCAGGGATAGCGGATGTCTGGGCTTGATCGAGCTCATGATGTCCAGTACCTCTTTTGTGGGCACTCCGAGCTGTGCGGACGGCTTGTTCCGCTTTCGGTTCTGGCCCGTCGTGTGGCTCACGTTCCCCGCGAGGTGCCGCACGATGGAATGCTCGAACTCCCTCTTGATCTTCCATGCATCTCTCCACAATGGAAGTTCGTGCTGAAAGTACGACATCACCTCGAAGAATCCCAACATCATCTCGACGACGTCCCCCAAAGACTCCTCATTCGTAGTCTGTCCCAGGAGCTCATACATCGTCCCCTGATCAAGCACGCTCTTGATCCAAGATTAATAGGCCACGTTGCCAAGATCTCTGTCTATCACATAGATGGAGGTCCTCTCCTCAACCCCTTCGGAATTCTTGCATATGACCACATCTCTGACTGCACACAATTGCCTTCCGTGTTTGTGATTGTAGAACTGCGCCGCCTGATCCACCGTCATGCTCACGAAACCCACGTGGGACAGCTCCTTCTTCAGCTTGGAATATACCAGTTCCCGTATAATTGTGGTCATGGCCTGAACATTGTTGACGTTCACCATGAGATGTTGGAGGTCTGGGATTGCGACCTTGCACTCCGCGAATAGTCGCGTGTATATCTTCCTCCCGTTGGTTGATCTCGCAACACCGTTCGTGTCCGCATTCCAGTTCGCACAGCAGTTCACGCACGTCTCAGGGTTGAAGGTTGAATTTGACCCGAGCACCTTCGACTTGTTCCTCTGCATTTCATTTCTGCAAAGTTCGCAGATGAACTCATTGAGCTCGGAGACCGTATACCATCGAAGACGCTGATCATTGGCATCAATGTTCCCAAATGCATCTTGTCCACCGTAA